GTGTGGAGAAGTATTGACACAGGATCTAGATTAAGTGATTAAATGAACAGAAACCTAACTGAAGAGGTCATTATGATTGTCTTACTTTATTGATAAATGGGTGTGGAGGTGGATATTTTTAGGGCACTAACATTTTAGCTATGGCTTTGGTTATGACAGTCATTTTCAGTGAAACCAATTTATGTCCAAAAAAACCCAAATCATATTTTCTTATTTTGCTCACGTGCAAACGTGCTCACAGTCTTTGAGCATGACGTAACGGAATAAAATGAATAAACTCCAAATCACTGGCACATAGTTTGTGTCTGTTAGGGAAACATAAATGCATCTGTGTGTGAGGCAAACTGCCCTATTGATCGATCCTGAAAAACAGCACGTAGCGACTCCTGATTGGCTGTTTCTGTGATGGACTGAAGAGGGAGAAGAGAGGAAGGCAGGACGAAACCACTTATCCTGTACAACTGGAAAATATGTAAAGATCTGTGTGGGCTAGACGGCATCTAGATTCGGATATCAAAGGGGATTATGTTCGCGTAGCGGAATTAGATGGTAAGATTACAAATACGGGTAATTTCAGTGTTGATTAGCCCCTCTGACACGCGGTCATCGACGTTTAATCCCCCCTCATCCACGTGAATAAAAACATCCAAACAGGCTATTAGGATGCGGAGATGATTCTGGTGACGCTGCGATGGATACCTGCGAGGATATTCAAATAATCATGAGAAATCGATTTGATTTCAAGTTGTTACGTTGTTTTATTATTGCCTTTTAAATAAAAATCATTATCAGCCATGATTTTCTTACGGAGGCTGCTGCAGCTGTCGGTTTTGGTGAGCCATATTGGATGGTGGGGGGTCGCGTCGAGCCCCACAGATGAGGGAGCACTCCGGGCCGGCCAAGGGGAGCACGGAGAGCCGGGACACCATGAGCCTCACAAGGACTCCTACAGCACCTTCGCGTCCGAGTTCCTGGAGTCCAGATATCTGTCAGACGACGGTAAGGATGGAGCCGAGTGCTTCGTACTTAAGGCTGCTAGCTAGAGGATTTTGTTTACGTCTCGTGCTAAATAAGCAAGATAAGAAAAATGCACGAGGTGATAGCATGGGCCAGAGAAACAGAAACGAAGCATATGCTGTTTATTTTGTCCTGCAACCAACCTGTCTGCACTTTGCAAGGCTTTTCAGCACCTAGGCCAGCTCCCCTATGGGGCTGCCCACCCCCCTCTCTCTCTCTCTCTCTCTCTCACACACACACACACACACACACACACACACACACACACACACACACACGAAAAACAAAAGCAGCAAGAGAGAGAAAGTGCAGATGCCCTCATCCTAGTTGGCCCTTTCCTTGTTGGATTCTGTGTCCTGTGTTAAAAGACAAAACAAGTGCTTCTTTTGCCTTTTTGCAGGTTATCCGTTCCCCACTGCTCCACCAGTCGACCCCTTTGCCAAGATCAAAGTGACTGACTGTGGAGTCACAAAAGGCTGCATAAGGTGAGAAGAGGAGACATCCTTTTCCTTCCCTCGCTGCCTGAAATCAGAGCTCCAGTGCAGCTGTTTTCCCTGAGGACGCTTTATCCTACATGCTGTGTCCTAAATTATTATTTTTTTCAACTTATTTTTTATTTCATTCTTCCAACTTTAAGAGCGCTGGAGCGACACATGGACTTCTTCTCAGTGCAGTCTTTGTTCTCTGATATCAGTTTGAAATTGATTAAGCCCTGTTGTAAGCCTCACCATCTCAGCCTACATCTCTACTTCATGTAAAGAGAGTGTTTAAATTTGTTTATCTTCATAAAGGTATGGAAAGCCAGGTTGTGATGCAGAGACGTGCGACTACTTCCTGAGTTATCGTCGTATCGGGACAGATGTGGAGTATGAGATGAGTGCAGACACAGACGGCTGGGTGGCTGTAGGTTTCTCGTCTGACAAGAAGATGGTGAGAAGCTGCCAAACTTTTTCGGCTTTGTTGAGAGAGTCCTTTGTCCTGACTATACTTGTTGTATCTGAGCAAGTTTCTGTAAATTGCATATGATGTAATAATACGTATTACGAATTTTGAATCTTTTTAAGGCTTGCTGTCCAACCAAATATGACAGAAAGTATCATAGCCTCTATTTCAAACTCAGTTTTATTTGGAATATAACATTTTTTTTCTAAATTACTTTCTGTCAACCCTTCTCATTAGAATAAACTTCAACATATTCTGCTAGGAGATGAGTTTTACAATAAGTAAATAAAATGATGATCAACTGTGCTGGATGGTGAACAAAAGTTTATCGATACTGAAGTAACTGTATATTCCCAGTAATTGTTATTGCTATTATTTTTTAAACATGTATGGCCTCCTTTTACAAGGCATAAACCTCAGATGTAGCATCATGTGCATATATATATATATATATATCTAGGGTAACAGTCTAGAAAGTAGAAAACCCATCGTCTCTCCTTTGATGAGCAGACATAGTCTCCTGCTGTCTCTTCCTCTAACTGTGTTTGTACTTTGTATCAGAATGGTATTCTTTCAAAATTCAACAATTCAAAGGTAAGCTCATTGCTTTTGTTTTCTTTCCCAGGGAGGGGACGACGTCATGGGTTGTGTCCATGATGATAACGGACGTGTGCGGATCCATCACTTCTACAATGTGGGCCAGTGGGCTAAAGAAATAAAAAGGAACCCTGCGAGAGATGAAGAGGGCATCTTTGAGAACAACCGGGTGACCTGCCGCTTCAAACGGCCGTTATACGTCCCCAGAGAGGAGACTCTTGTAGACTTACACCTGTCGTGGTATTACCTGTTTGCATGGGGACCTGCCATACAAGGTGAATCATCATGCTTAAGGATACACTTGGCTAGCTTCTCTTTGTCTTTCATGACATTTACTACATCTTCTTACCTTTTCCAACAGGTTCCATTACAAGGCACGACATCGACAGTCCACCTGTCAGTGACCGCATGATCAGCATCTACAAGTATGAGGACATCTTTATGCCTTCTACAGCCTACCAGACCTTCAACTCCCCCCTCTGCTTACTGCTCATAGTAGCTCTCACCTTTTATCTACTAATGGGAACACCGTAATAAAGCTCAGCATGTGGTGGCGGGAAAAAAAGAGGGAAAGAGAAGAGGAAGCAGCAATAAAAAATGTTGTCGTTTCTGTCAAGTGTGCTTTGCACAGAGAGACACTATATTAGATACATTTAAGAACTTAGAGAGAATATATTGTTTTTCAGAACTCAAACAGAGGATCAGGATAAAATGATGAACCAGTACTGTAGAGCTATCATGTACTGGTGTCAGTAAAAATACAGGGTCTGATAAAAAGTAGTATCATAGTTTAAGCACACCAGTTATTTTCAGTATTTCATATAACTACCAAGTATCAATAACTATCAGTACCGATGACTTAGCCTGGCAAGTCTTCAGAATACTGCATGCACTAAAAAGTCTGGGAACAGCCCCTGTTCACTGGAGAAGAAGAAGAGAAAGAAGACAGTATCTCGTGTTGAACTTGACTACATCATGAAAGATACCTGTGGAAAAAAGGACATAAAGCAACCACACTTAATGTTCTTTCACGATTATGTTTTCAAGGATATCATCCTTTGCAAAAGTAGCAGGAAAAAGATGGTCTATTTCTTTGTTTTCACTATAACAGCATGTAGTTTCTAGGGACTGAATACAGTATGTGTTTACCACGTTAAAGCTCTATTTCTTTTTCAAATGTTAATGTTGATGGCACTGACAAACTCTTGGCTCATCTTACTCAAACTTTTCCTTTAATTATATTTGTTTTCTCAACCACAGTGGTTGTGACTTTGGCACTGTGACTATGTTTAGCAGACAGAGAGAGACTTCTACCTGAGTTACTATTACCCACAAAGCAATAACACACTGACAGGAGCAAACCAACGAGTGAAGAACAGTTTACTGGGACTGAGACACATTTTCCCTCCAGTTTGTTATTGTAGGAAATGTCATTATGCCTCTCACTTAAACGAATCTACAATGTTTGAGTTTATTATCAATAAAACTTTTAATGAAAACAAATACAGTATACTCAAAGAGAATAATGATATTTCTTTGCATGAACAGACAGATCTGACAGTCAGATATTATGAGGCTTTATACACATTTTTAAAATTGCTTTATTTACAAACGCATTTAACCATTTGAGTTGATATTTCATTTTATATTTCACTTTGAAAGTGAAAGCAGTCTTCCGGTGAAGTGCTATCCTTACCCCACTTGAGACTTGTAAACTTCATATGCACAATTGACTATTATTCACAGTTGCCAATGCCAAGTATAATTGATTTAAATAAAAATGAACATTGCTTAATGTACTTTACATTAAAAGGGATTCAAGAGACCTGCTTTCTTTGCCACCCATGCATGCATTAGCAACATTGACATAAAATGTGGCCATTTCCTAAAAATGTGTCTTATCATGATGGTCAAATATTGTCTAACAATATATTTTATGGCCCCACTAAATCAACTTTTATCTGTGAATGTCACATGTAGGACTCTTATAGGTCTATTATAACGCATATTTACTGACCGTGATGTAAAACAGTTGCTAGGAATTCAAATCTAACATTTTTACATTAGTGACTTGCATGGCTTTCCTCCAACGTGTCATGAGTTGGTATTACCACTGCGGGGCACCAAACTCTGACATTAAAATATCTCAACATCTCAACGTTACTTATGATAGTAAAAAAATAAAAAAAAATAACATAGGTCTATATATAGGTCTATATACAGCCTGTTCAGATGCAGAGATGAAAAAAAAAATACGCTGTCGATTATTCTAATTATATTTTTAATATCAATTTCAACAACGGTAATACAATACAAATATTAACAACAACAATAATAGGTATAACTATAATTGTTATTATATCAATAATAATAAAAGTCCCCGGAAGCGATTATCTTTTTTTACACAGACCGACCCCACTTCCCACAGTTCCGTTGGCAGCTTCAACGTGTTACGTCATATGTTTTCCTTCGTCACGCGGTGGATCCCTCGGGTGGAGCGACGTTACTGGAGCGGAGTTGAAACATGGCAGACGAGGAGGACTCGGCACCGGAGCCTGCCGCTGTCTCTCCCCCGACGAGCCCTCCCTGCGAGCGGCCTCACTTCGTCTCCTTTTCCGAGAGCGTGCAGCCGGCGGTCGGGATGATGAGCCAACTGCTGAGCCAGCCGTCTTCTCTGAAGTTTGATAAAAATATCAAGCAGGCCTTCTATAACACCGGGGCGATGATCTTCGTAGCTATCTGCTGCGGGCTGCGGTGCTGGTCTACTTCATCCTGGAGGCCTTCCTCCGTCCGCTGCTGTGGGCTACGCTCTGCGGAACCTTTCTCCACCCCTTCAAGCACTCCCTGGCCCGGCTCGGCCGCTCCTGGCTCAGCGGCCTACAGGAAACCGGGACGCCCATCGTGCTTGGGACCCTGCTGGTCCCTGTGTGGTGTGTGAACCACGGGATGGAGGCGATGGGTCGGCTGGTGCTGGAGAGGCTGACGGTGCTGCTGGTGATCGGTGCCGGAGCGCCGCTGATCTACTTCCTCTACCTGTTCTGGAGCGTCATCGGCATGCAGGTGATCCTCGGGCACGTCTGCGGGATCATCGGGGCCGTGCTGGACTGTTTCCACACCGTGTGGGTGAGTAAGTGAACAGTGGCAACTGGGTACACACATGCACCCTTCTCTAATGACAACAAAAGCCCCTCTGTGTGGCTGCGTGGATGCCACTGGTGGGTGAGGTCAGCATGTCAACCCAGTCACCCAAAACTGGCTGCCGACGGCTCAGAGAAGAGCTGGGCCAATTGGTTGAGATCATTTCAAATATTATTGATACTGTTATTATTTATACCATTAAAAATGTATGTACACAAAATGATGCAGTACAAAGAGCCATGTAGAAAAGTATTATTTACTTTACTACTAATTTATTATCTGTTTAATTAAAAACCAGCAACAACAACAACATGTTTTATGTACAATTTCTCATTTAATTTCTTTTAAGAGTAAAAATGACCACAGAACCATCTGCTGTTTTTTCTGAATGTGTACAAGTGTACATGTTCAAAGATTGACTCTATGTGATGTTATAATCTATACGCTATCCTAGAAATAAATACTAGTCTTAAAATGTATGAATTGCATTTCCTTGAACATGTGTCTGTAATGAGTTCATATTTTAACCACATTTTAAAAACAGAATATTCTAGGAACTTGTGACTTAAATTTTCCTCAGCTGATCTAATCTGATCAAAAAAGAGTTTTTTTTTTTTTGTTTTGATCAATGCCTCATGATTCCCAAACAGCTCCAGGGGCATGAGCACATCTAAACCTGGTATAGTTACAAATAGTGTTAAGTGGTCTTCCTAAGGCAGTCTGTCCTTTCTCTAGACGTAGCGGTGGATCCACACAGGGTCCCTGACTATTAATAGGCTGAAGGACGGTGTATTAAATTACTTTCAAAGCTGCATTTGTGTGGAAAGAAAGACGTTTGGACCATTGTGACCAGACCAGAAGACGTCTTATTTCATACTTTTCCCCTTTTCCCTTATCAGAGGTGTGGGAGACCTGGAGGTCGCAGTTTGATGCCTTCAAGGCCTTAAAAAAATGATATTGAAGCAGTTTAAGAAATGATCAGGAAAATGACATTGTCACTGACTTTTCTGATGCCTTGGATTGATCCAATCCCATCTGCCAGCAATCACTACTATAACACAAAGTTGTGGACATGATACAATACGGCTGAAAACTTCGACACAATAATAATGAATCATATGATCATCACAAACACTGGCCATGTTCTTTTAACTCAGTCAGAAAGTTCAGAAACTCTGCAGCAAAACATCCTGTGATGCAGGAGTCACAACATTTGCTTGTACCCTGTGTTCATAATGATTCTTTGGCTTCTCCTCAGGTGTGCACTTTGGTGTTTGGCTACCTGTTGGCTGTTTGTTTCAAATGGGGTCCTCACACTGAGCATTACCTGCGGGCTCTGGCTGTTCCTGTTTGGTCTGTCCTGCTCTTCTACATTGGTGAGTGAATGAGTGAGTTTGTGTGAGGGGGGAATCTGCTCTGACCTGTTCGATTTCATTTCATACATTTTTGTAAACATTGTCTTTGCCGATGGGTTGATTTTTTACATTTTTGCAAACTTGAGTAGACATGTCACTGCAACATTTAGTTTTTCTGAAGTGGAAGGAGTAAAGCTGTCCTCCAGTAAATGAAAGAGGGTGTGTCTACAGGTCCTCTATCAGACGGCGCACATGCCGAGTAGATGAGGAAGTCCCCAGTATTTTTAGCACACTTGACCTTCAGGCGTGAAATGTTAAAAGTGACTGAGTGCATGTTCAAATGTTGCTATATGATAGTGTGATTATAATATCATCTTAGAGTATCGTAAAGACTTTAAAGACTTTATAGTTGTAAAACAATTTTTTTTTGCAGTGCACCTGAAGTCAGTATTTTCCAATAAAATGACCAGCAATGTAAGTAAAAATGCATTCAGTCTGTTAATATTCAACTCTTTTTTGATTTCTTCATGTGTTTTAGTGTCTCTGACTGGCTCGTGGAAAGTGCCCATATTTGTGGTAATGGTTATTCTCATGATCCTTGGCTCTCTGGAGAAACCGCCTGTCCCTGGCAGAGGTGAATACTTGTGAACACACGCACACACACACACCACACACCACATACGCACACGCACACCCACGGCCTCACACACACACACACCACACACCACATACGCACACACGCACACCCACGGCCTCACACACACACACACCACACACCACATACGCACACACGCACACACACACACACACACACACACCACACACCGCACACGCACACGCACACACACACACACCACACACCGCACACGCACACACACACACACACACATACACACACACCAGTTGTCTTTCCAAATATTTACTAATGATTAAAACAATAAAGAAGTGATTTGTTTGTCTGTGATCTTAAATATGTTGGTACAGTAGGATTATGCTACATTCAGTCAACGCTAAGCTAGCTGTTTCCCCTATGTATAACCAGTATGCTAAGCTAACTGGCTGCTCGGTATAGCTTCATATTTACTGTTCAAACATGTTAGTGGTATCTTCTTCTAAACCTACAGTTGTTTGTATTGTAATTTATGTATACAAGGTATTGGGTGGAGAGTTTGTCATTCAAACGGTGAACGAACAGCTAAGAAATGTAAACACAGAAATGATAAGTGTGTCTGGCATAGTGTGTGACTGTTCTCTGCCTCTCTACCTCCCCAGGAGAGCTGTCAGGGCAGGTGTTGTCGTTCGCTGCTAACACTATTTACATGGCTATCTCCTGTAGCAACCTTCAGCTGAAAACTGAGCCCAGTGGAAACTCAACTACAGGTAATATAAGGCAGCTTCATTTCATTTTCACCTGTTCGCACCTTGATTAACTACATAACTGCAACAGTGATCAGCACTTGCTGCATGAGACCAAACCAATGTCAGTCCTTGTTTCTTTTTCTTATTATCATCCCCTGTGTTTCTCCATGTCCTCCTACAAGATGGAGTGCAGTCTGTTGGCCCACTTCCCTCCACGCCTGGATTCCCTCGCGGCTCTCGTTCGTTTCCAGCCGGCCTCTTTCAGAAAGAGAAAAGCTCCCACAGAGCCAGTGACATCTACTTCATTCTGCTTGTGTGGGCCATCGTGCTGGTTCAGGTGTGGCTAAACCTATGGATCCTACAGCTGCTGCCCATTCCTCTGGCCGGTATACTGAACACACTGCATACACATGCATGCATGCACTGTTTTTTTCACCCTCCTTTTCTCACACCTGCTCAGACTAATGTTGCATTGATGATTCAGTGTGGGTGCTAAAGAAGCTGGTGGTCCACTTTGGCCTGAAGAGCTTTGCAGAGCGGACTCTCAGCTCGTGGTGGGTGGTGCTGGAGAAGCTGGGACGTGAGCGAGAGGAGGCCCTGCTGCCTGGACCAATCAAAGGCCTGGCACAGTTCCTGCTGCGTGTGGACACTAAGGTAATGTCTCTGACCGATCTCCAAGTGCCAGATGTGCAGGTTGCTCTCCTTAATTACACGATCTCTTACTTTCACACATCATCGTCAAACTCACACACTTCTTGTTTTGTAAACTGGAATATTTTAAACATGTTTAAGGTCCTCAGTGGCTACGAAGGTCTCTTCGTACTATAAATGTTTCAGCTCAGCTCAAAGACCACACCATAAAATATTCAGCAAGTGTTGAACAGCTTTGGAATTCTAATTCTAATGAGAGAACTCACAATGTTTGGAGCATGCAGAACTTTCTTAGTGAATAACTTTCTGGGATATTTTGAGGTTGAAGAAAATACATCTCTGGTATGTAGTCCACTAAATAAAAAACAAACAACTAACAAACCCTACAAAATAAGGTTACTGCAATCATTCATTCATTCAGAATCTGCTCTACACTATTCCACAGAAAATATAGCTCTTCGTAAATAAAGTTTAAATACCCGTACATATTTGATACATTTTTTAAAATTGAAATATTAGAGATTAAATAAAAAATGAGAGCAAAATCATCAGCCTGGTGGGGCGCTGTGGTGCTCCTTGGCCACATGTCATTCCCCACTCTCTCTCCCTGATATCTGACCCTATTCAATGTCCCATCTCTGTGATAGAGGCATAAAAGCCCAGGATAAATAATAATAATAAATAAATAAACAAAACATTAGCCTGTACGCATATAAATCTTTTGCATCGCTCCAGTCCTCAACCCCTCCTTAAATAATATTGATTACATTGTTAACATACAAAAAACAACAAAAGCAATACATTCTAGTTTAAAATAAAGATTTTGGGCCATTTGAACCATCATGTATTTCTCATTCTAGTTTATTCTTAATTCAGTCAAAAACACACTGAAACTGAAAAGATGTTTTTAATATTAAACTGTAGTGAAGATTGAGCTCTTATGTGAACGGTGTCGGTTATTTTGATGGTCTGTTCACTGCGCTGTCCTTGCAGGTTTTAGTTTTTACTGGGTCTTTCTGTGATCTCCTTCCAGCCAGAACTGGCTTCGTTCACTGCTCACATAGTGTTGTTTCGAGACACAGAAAGCTTCTGTACACTACCTGTCTAGGACAAACAGAGTAAGTGACTCCTGCTGGTGAACATAGTGGAGCTTTAAAAAAAAACAGATATTTCCAGAAATATTGCACTTTGCATTTGTCAAAGAAAACAAACACAAAACTCATAGCTGACAACTTACACATTAAAGGATGTCTCTCCCTTGATACTAATGGAGAACATTCTGTCATGTGTTTTCCACAATGACTGGCATCCCCCCTGTAAAGCCACACTCCTGTTTGCTGTTATCCTTCCTGTCACTCTTCTCTACCCGACCACTCAAACCCCATAACAAAGAGGCTGTGTTCTTCTTGCACGGGTACTTGTGATGACTGCTGCACAGATCTTTCCAAAAATAATCTTCCCAATGTCTCTCTGTCTCCTCCCCAAGCTCTGGCATTGGCTTAACAAGCAGGTAATGACTTTGGGGAGCAGAGTGCTGAGAGAAAGAGTGTGTATGAGATAACTCAGATCAACCTGTTTATATGTGTGGGTGTAGGTGAAGGTGTGAGCACACCTCGTAGTAGCTTGGACTGGCACTTTACCCATCCACTGTCATCACCCTGTCATCCTGTTTGTGTGTTTGTCCTCACACTGCTTTCCTGCTGCCTGCTTTTATTTTGAAAGGAAGCTACGGTCAGGTCGAGGACTATTTTGTCCCTAGGCCTCATCCATACCTTCCCTGCTGTGATCTAACCGGCAGGTTTGGCTTGAGAGTGAATGGGCCGCATGGAGCAATGGCTGATGTAAAGAGCGGAGATGGAGGAGCGGGCAATGTTTCTGAACACATGTTGGTCCATAACCCTGAGGTTGATTATGCTCTCATACAAATGAAGAAGAAAAACGGCTCTAGGTGGGCAGGGTTGGGATGTGATCACGCTGGATGGGAATGGGGCAGGGGATTTGCAAAACATTGGAAACACCATAAAGTTTGGATGGATGTGAAAATACTTGAATAACAACCTTTATCTTTAAAAGAGCTGAATTTCTTTATAATATTATATGATAATGTATCTAGCAACATTTTATATTATATTTATAATTTGATCTACAGCCAACACAAAGTATGTTTTACAAAATATTTGAAGATACTTCAGGCTCCCCTCTTTGAGTCAGTGGTCCCAGTTGGGCCACCTAAGGTCTGCTTACCTGTTTTTGTCACCTGGCAAAACTTTTCACATTCGAAAGGAACAGTTTTGATCAGACTTAGAAATGGCTCATCAGACTGTTCTCCTCTTTAATTCATCTTCTGAAGGACAAGATTAGCATTATTATACATGAACATGTTCTTTATTATTATCAACAAATTCCATGAAAAGACAAAGGCTTACACAGACAAAAACGTACTCTAATAGAGTATTGTCTGGGCATCCAATCCAAGCAATGGAGCTCCAATGTTGTTCAATGGTTAACCTTTTGGCCTTATTGGAGAGAAGTGTCCAATGGAACACATCCTCTTTCATTAAAGTAACTATAATGTCCAGTCACTTCATTTTAACACATGGCTTTTGTGACATTAACACACAATCATACAGATACTGACGCTGTCATAGGTTTGCTGTTGATGCAGTTATTTGGAACACTGAGAAATCTGAGTTAAGAATCAACTTTGAAATCATGCAAAAGTCTTTGGATTAAACATTCTGCACACAGCCTGAGTTTTCACTCGCATGTTTGCTAGTCTAAGGATGTGTGCATGCTTGAGACGGACATTGTGGATGTTGGTTGACTCAACTTCACTCAGGGCCAAAGTGAGCACTTTTAGATCCTAAATGGGAAGGACGCAGGTTTCTCCATGTGTCTGCTCTCTGTATGTTTTCAGTGTCTTCAGAATCCCAATGACTTTTTATCTTCTCTTTTTCCACACCTCCCTGTCTTTCTCGTATATGGCTTCTCCTCCTCTGTGTCTGTAGATGATCGTGTGGTTGGAGCGATCTCTGGATAAAATCATCAGCATCTTCATCATCTTCGTCCTGGTTTCAGGGACGCTGCTCATGGCTCTTCTGCTCACTGCTATGGTATGTTTGTTGCTCCTTTGAGTCACTCGATTGCTACTCGGAGACATGGTCCTGTAGAAGTGTTTAACGTTGATCTTTTTAGGTTCATCATGAAAGCGTTCACATCGTCGACGTAACGAGTAACCTCATCAACGAGACCGTGTCTAATCATCCAGAATGGGCAAAGTATGACGGTTTAAACTTTTTTCTTAGTATCTTTATCTTTTGGGGTTTATAATTCATCTGCTGAACTCTTCCTGTCCTGTAGTTGGCTTCCAGAGGCTCATGTGGTTCAGAAGGCTCTAAATTCAGCTGCCACTAATGTCTATCAACACGGTCGAGAATGGATAACACAGAAGGTAAGAATGATGACTGCCACTGTACTTTTTCATTGATTTCTCAGACTTAAAATATGGAATCAGAAACAGAAAACTGCTCAATTCATTGAATCTTTCCTCCTTTGTGCAGCTCCATAAGATGTTAGGAGACAAGGTGAACCACACAGCTGTGATTGAGAAACAGGTTTTGGAGCTTTGGGACAGACTGTATCACTCCTGGTTTGTGAAGGTATTGTGAGGACGACTGACGCCAGGCCTGTCTTTTTTAAGTCCCCCCCCCCTTTAAATTCACAAAATATTTCCTGCGTTTAACAGAACACTACCCACACTGGACGCCTTCGTGGTCAGAAGATGATGGCTCAGAGACAGAACAGCTGGTTAGGCGACATCCTGGACTGGAAGGACATCGCCTCCTTTCTGCAGGAAAATATTGAGACCCTGCTGTCTGTAAGTATTTGTGAAGTATTTGTGTATAACTCTGTCTTTAAGTAGCATTTATTCTGGTTTCTTTGAAAAGTGTTTGCCAGAAAAAAGCAACATCACGTGTCCTGATATTTTCTTAGAATCAGTGAAGAGATAAAAATGAAACATGTTGGATTTCATGCCCTGGCTGGCCTTTAATTGGTGTCGCAACATCTGGAAGTTGTTGACAGATTTGCAGACGTGTGTCTCAGAGGGTTGTTTTCACAGTTTTCCCTGTGGCTGACATGTTTACCGTCTACTTGTTTTATAGATCCTGGAGTCTCTGTGGGTGGTGATGAGCAGGAATGTCGGCCTCCTCATCTCCACCACGACCACTCTCTTCACCGTCCTGTTCCACAGTGGCACTGCGCTGCTCAACTTCGCTCTGAGTCTGGTATGAGACATTCACTGATTTGAACTATTAACATAATAATCAATGAAATGACTTCATGAATATATCACCTGAGGTGGTTTTAGTTTTGCTTTTTGACAGTTTGAACTCAGTAAAAACTACAACTTAGGGTTTACAATCAGAGAAAAAAGTTAATATTTGCTGCGTCTTTATACTTTTTATTACACAAGAGTGACACGTCCAAATATTTCACTTCAAAATCAAGTTGTCAGACCTCATAAGGAATGAAACAGACTATATTTGTGTTGCAACATTAGCATTGCATTGGTGTTTTTTGTTGATTATTGATCAGTTATATTTGCTATCATATACATGTAAAGCTTTGTTTTAAAAATATGAATATATGTAGTCTTGGTCTCAATGGTGCAGATTTACCTTTCATTCATCCTCTTTTCTCACTTTGGGATCTGGAAGGATGGATTTAGTTAAAACAAAATAAGCTAAAGCCCCGTTCAGAGTCAGAAAGGCAAATAAATTATATTGTTGCTGCATGCTTTATTGTTTTTAACGCTAATCTTCTGATTTCTGCACAGTTGTTGAATAATATTGATCACTGTCTTTGCCTTTGTCCGAGTAAAGTAAATCTATGTTTACTCTTTATGTGCAGGTGATTTTCCTCACCACTCTCTTCTACCTGCTGAGCTCCAGCGGTGAATACTACAAACCTGTGAAATGGGTGATCAGCCTGACCCCCCTCTCCCAGCCTGGACCCTCCTCTAATATCATAGGCCAGTCTGTGGAAGAGGCCATCAGGTAGACACACATACAGAATCTCCTCGCAGCTACGCAATCACATGTAAACAGTCTAAACAAAGACATTCATTTTGCCCTTGTGTGTGTTTTATCTTGAAAGAGGAGTGTTTGACGCATCTTTTAAAATGGCCGGCTTCTACGGTCTATACACTTGGCTCACTCACACCATCTTTGGCATCAACATTGTTTTCATTCCCTCTGGTGAGTCTTCATGTTTACAGCAGATTGTGACGTTTCAATACCTGGACTTTACCGGCCACAGTCAGTGATTACTCACTCTCTTTTTAATCTCTTCCCCCCCCCCCCCCACCCCACCCCACCCCACCTGAAGCCCTGGCTGCCATCCTGGGTGCTGTACCATTCCTGGGGACGTACTGGGCAGCGGTGCCAGCAGTGTGCGACCTGTGGCTTGCACAGGGAGAAGGCGCGAAGGCCGTGCTGCTGCTGATCTTTCACCTGCTTCCGACCTATTTTGTAGACACGGCGATCTACTCGGACATATCAGGGTGTGTACGCCATGTTTTGGATGTTTATTGTTCCCCAGAATAGCATTGGCACATTTGTCCGACAGACTTCGATATTCAAACGGCCTTGTTAGTAGGGGAAAACTGCTTAGAAAGGAAAGTATTCAGTGTGAAGTCTATAAATAGTGTTTCTATTAGCAATCAGTTTCATAAAAATCAGCTGTTTGAGATCCAAAGAAAACAACACCAGACAGCCGGCCAGATTATGCTCCAGATTTTATTGGCAGCCACCTCTTTATTAATCACCAAGGGGAAATCAGCTTTTTCACTTTGTTATTGGACATGCTCCACAAGCACGATCCTATGGACGTGCACTTATAGAGAGAAGCTCCTCTACAGTTCTTTGGGAACTTCTCCATTAACCCGTCCCAGATTCCATACTTTGGTCCGTATTGTGTTGTGGAGAGATGTTATGAAAAGGATGTTTTTGAGACATTTCTGTGTTTTGATCTCTTGTCTTTGTCTCAGGGGTGGACACCCATATCTGACAGGTCTGGCGGTGGCAGGAGGAGCATACTATCTGGGTCTGGAGGGCGCCATCATCGGGCCGATCCTCCTCTGCATCCTGGTGGTTGCAGCAAACATCTACAGCGCCATGCTGATGAGTCCCAGCTCGGCTGCACCAACACCCGTGCAGTCCACCTGGCCGCTCCACCCCACGAGGTAAAATTGAGATCTGAAACCCTTTTATACAATTGATTGGAAAGCACCCCTACCATTATTGTCTTTGTTAACTGTCGCTTATAGGACCTTCACAGACTCCACCCCTTCGGTCCTGAAGAAGAGCAGTGAGTGAGAGGATTTGTTCCTGTGGCCTCTTACTGGCTGATTCCTCGCTGGAACTGCTCTCCTCCATGAAGCTCCTCCTTCGCCGCTCGCCCGGCTCTACAGGAGCCCCCGGCCCGGAAGAGAAGGCAGCCGACTGCTTACCAAAGCTCTTTCTCTGAGCAGTTTGTCTCCAGCTGCTCTCAATCTAGACCCAAAAAATGACGGACGTGAGCGTTCATCCTGATCCCAAATATTAACCAATGACTGCACATTGGACTTTGAATGGTGAAGATGTTGGTGCTAATCAATCATCACTCTGTGCCATGTGCCTAAATAGGTTTTGATACATTTGAAAAAGCCTAAAATGATCGTCCAGTTTGTGGTGAATAATAACTTCATATGCCCCTGATGTCCACCTTCACTCCCCGGCTGTGTTTCAGCTCCAGAATGTGCTCGTGCAGTATTTGTACTCCCTACCTCTCTCCTCATTGAGGCTCACTTAGAGTTTATAGCGACGGTTGGGCTGTGTGGAGATAAACCTAAGTCCTCAAACCTGGCCGGGGGGGGGGGAGTTGATAACTGTTTTTATTAACTTCATTCACGTTTCAGTGATTGTAGCCCCAGATCGCTGCTAACAAGACTCCTACTCCTGCTCTCCTGCACCAGGATCCGTTACCACTTTGTCACTTTTTTTCTTGTTTTTTTTACTGTATGTCAATGTTTCATCTTTTCTTCTAATGTCTACAGGTTCAGACAGATGACGACTACTTTAGAGGGTCGGACAAGTTGTCCGGTTAGGGAATTTGGTCTGAATTTGAGACCAGGGGATTAACGAGGGATTATGTTTTAACATTTTTCATTGTTTTATAAAACACTGAGTGCAATTGAACATATCGAGCTGATTCAGAAGTGAGAATATCGATAACCTCATTGACGAGATTGACTGAGTAATTTTGTCAGAATTCCAAAGTCTTGGTATGACTGTGATTTTTTTTTTTCAGTAGTTGTAAATCCAACAGGAGAGTCTTTATGTTTTCTATTCACCTCATCCACTCTTCGCTCACTCCATTCTTAAACATCAGTCTGCGCACTTTGAACAGAGTATGAAGTTGTTTACATCATTTGAAGCAAGCTGTACATATGAACTGTGTATGTAATGTGACACACTAATCAAACTTGGCTACTATGTTAGCTGCCTGGGGGTGGGATATGTCCTGGGTTTGAACAAGCGTTAGCAATAGTTCACTGTTCAGCTGAAACTGTTTGCATTTGGTCCTGTTGTATTTTATATCACTGGATATGCACTGACACAATAAACGTCATTTAAACCAATGTGTCCTTGTTGGTACTTTACTTCTTGGTAAAGGATCCAACTTCAAAGTATTTTCAATCATTTTTCATAAAATGTAAGAAAATAGTGAGGAGTACTCTTCACAATATGACTTTTTGTTTCCAGCCCCCAGCTTCTATTCCATCACTCTTAAATGGAGGCTGTCATATGATTAAATATAAGGATATCACGTTATTATTATTTTTGGGGAAATTTATTTCATTCATCGACCAAACAATAGAGTATAATACAAACATAAAATTTCAAATCTTGAATTAAAAGGAGCAGAAAGAAGAAAAATCTTGAGATTCTTTGGTATCTCTGTTGAGATTGTTACATAAACTGATTCCTTTCAAAGTAAAACAACGTTCACTCAATGTGGTTCTCAATGTCGTTTTTTTAAAGATCTCTGTTGCCTTAAAGGTACATATGAAAAATCCACTTTTACAGTGTTTTTGAACATATATTTGGGTAGAGTGTCTACTGACCCACAAAATGTGAAATAAACCCATCCAGTCCTTTGTTTCCGGACTGCACAAGTGTCATTGCATTTAAAGAGACACACACCAAAACGGAGCGTTCTGAGAGAGCTGATTTTATACAGGGTCACAAACCTCCTCTGGTGCTTGATTCATGTTATATTTCGAACAAAGCACAGCACAGATGTTTCATTTAGACCAAAGGGGACTATTTTAAAAGGTGAAAAGGGGGTATAATATGTCCTCTTTAAAGCTATAACGGCTTTCCCTTTTTTCAAATCTTTTTTGGGTGTTTGTTGGCAACGTTTTCTTACTAGCTTTGTACATCATTTGCAGAATACTGTTATCTACTAATTCATCACATTGAAACAACTTTAACTGATTACAGGTTTGACAGATCTCTATAAACGCTTTTTATGGCTCTTTATTGCTAAATGAAAATTGAACGGTTGTTATAATTACTGACGGATTACAGTCTGGCTTAAAGGTTGCAGTAGGTTCAGACTGAGCTCATTAAACTGCTTCTACAACGTATTATGTTTTACTAATTAAAAACCAAACATGTTTATTATGGGTCCATTTTTGTCTTGGGAGCAAAATCTTAATTTCTTAAGAAACTAAAGATATTAAGTAAATGTAATGGATATAAGGTTTAACTTCATATTAAAGCACGTATAAATACTCAAATAAAAGACAAGTAGCTCTTCACTGTACTTTTGTAATGTAAACACATTGAACAGAATGCAAAACAAACTTCTCATTTGAGGAAACACTGAGAACGTTAATGTAAGATCGTTTGGCTCTGCAGAGGTAGTACTGTGAACAACTTTTAAATAACTAATGATCTGCTGACCGATTTATTTAATTATTTAATTATTTGTTTGAGGAAAAATATTTACTTTTCATTTCAACGTCATCGTCACAAAATCAGTCAGTCCATGCAAACAGCAAACCGGTTGGTCTGAACGTTTGTGTGTTAACTGCTGATCCTCCTTCTAAAGTGCTAAATGTAATTTAAACACATTATTACTTCAAATTTTGCATAAGAGTGACGTGAGTTACAGAATATTTGATTTAGTGCAAAATTAGAACCATTCATGAGCAACAAGGACTCAGAGGAAATTCTCGCTCTAAAACCATTTTCACCTGTGATCACAGAACAAGCTCTGTCCAAAGGGAAGAAGAATACTTTTTATTTTTTATTTTTTTTACAAATGGAAACGTGAAATCTCCCTTTACCTAACAGCCCATTCTTTACTTTCTTTTCTTTTACTTACTGTCCTGCAGTGGAAGACTTACAATAGTAGCTTATGTATGGTTCTCTGCAGCTTTCAGGTGGAAGATATGCTGAACTGTGTAAATATAAAGCTAGTATATACAGGCTTCAAATTAGACTAAAACAACATGCATTAAAAGCTCGTCCCTTGATCAATAAAAGTAAAACCCTCTGTGTTTGTGTGAGCTGAGTCACATGGTGTCGTCTGTTCTGTGAAGATTTGACAGATTGTCGATGTGTCAGCGAGGCTCTGGACAGATGGACAGAATAAATGAAGACACAGCACAGCTGCTGCTAAATCCACAAAGAACCCTCTCATTTGAAGTCTCCAGTTAACTAATTAACAAACACATTGATCACAGGATGATATTCCTAAAACAGATATCTCAAGTCAAATGTAAAAGCACTCTCAATAAGTGATCTGAACAGGAAATAGAGGAATGAGTTCTCGTCTGAGTACTCAGTAACCCCTGTGATCTCTGTATTATACTGCAGAGACTAAGTCAACTACAGAGAGAGAGAGAGAGAGAGAGAGAGAGAGAGAGAGAGAGAGAGAGAGAGAGAGAGAGAGAGAGAGAGAGAGAGAGAGAGAGAGAGAGAGAGAGAGAGAGAGAGACAATGTGACCTGGATGAGATGAGCTTTCAATGTTTTTGACAGGAGGTAAAGTGAGTGAAGGATGCATCGTACTTTAAATCTAAAGAGGATGCTTTGTGAAGTTTGTTAATTTGGACTTTTGGGATGATGCACATATTCAAATAATGATGAGTAATAAACATCGATTTGACAGAGGCGTTTGTGTAAGATCATAAAGTGTTACCTGAGAGCCGATGCTGACATAAACCATCGCCCTCCAGGTGACGGCAAATAATGATGATCTGTTAAATCACAGATCCCATTTCATTGGATCTTATCCCAAGATCTACATCTTTATACAAATCATTGAGACAAATGATCAAAAGACCCAGAACTTACTGCTTGCAAACCTCAACTAGAATTCTTCACCGATGACGCTGCTGGTAGATCTTTTTCAGGTTCAGGTTTCAATTAAGAGTGGCTTGTAAAAGCTGCTGGACAACAAGATACCTTTGAACAGTCCAAAGAATGATGTCAGTTCTGTCAGTACTAAATATGTCTATGATTAATTTAATTCCAAACTAATTACTGCAATAATATGTAATGACATCATCAAGAATATAGAGTACATTTCTCAGTGAGGAAACCACTCGGTCCTAAGGTGCAACAAACAATTATTTCAAATAAAGAAAGGATTCATTTATATTAATTAGTGAAGTTTCCCAAAACAAGAATAAGAGGATCAATAAAACAACAAAATCAGAGGGACCCACAGCTGAGTTCATAAATTCCCATCCTTCATTATTCTGAGTCTTGGTGGAGTTCTCCTCCGGGCTGCAGTCTGATTCTCTCTAATCCATTTCTTCACATCAAAGGCTCCACACAGTCACAGTTCCTCTGAAGTCTGCAGCACACACACACCACAGCAGAGTCTTCCTCAGCTCGAGCAGCTTAAAGCTCTACACAAAAGATTCAATCGTACAGTGTTTCCTTGCAGGAGACTCTTTTTGAATCTCCAGCACAGATCAAGTCTTCATCAAGGGGATGACATCAGAATAATTCTTCTTTCTCATCACTGAATATGTGGGGGGAAAATTCTATTTGGACATCCATTTTTATTTTGGCCTTACTGAGGACAAACGTTTACCGAGACTGATTCTCTTACTATACAGGATATATTTAGAAAACAAAATGCATATTTTATTAAAGATGTGTATGGAAGCTCTGTGATGGCTCTCTGTGGGTGTCATCCTCACACATGAATTATTCAGCAGATCAAGTCTAGGAGTTGAAATAATCCAACCACAACACAGTGAGTCTACTGCTCAGCTCTGTTACCTCCACACAGCACCGTCAAGTTTATAGAAGGACAGCACTCATCGTGCTTTATGGCACAATCACTTCTGCTAGAGCTATATGGGGAGAAAAAGTGAGATTATGATCTCTTCACACCCATAGGTGCCTTCTGCAGCAGCAGTGCGAGTCCTTATCTCGGTCTTTCTATAAAAACAGAACCGTCTTAAAGGAGAAGTTCCTTTTTGTAATAATAAGACTTCTCACATGACGACACACGTTTGCAAAAACTTCTCACCACTTGTTTCAACATTTTCCCGCCCGCAAAAGAAAGACAAAAGGCAGCAAGAAATGTAGCAAATATTTAGAAAATGTGATTTTCAAATAGTTTATGAGGAAGTTATTGCAGTGCAAGACATTTGTTACACCTTAAGGATAGACATAGGGCTTGTTTGATTAAAGAAAAACTTAATAGTAACCAATATATTGGTTGTTTACAAGCATGGGGAGATTAAATTATTTTCAGTCATGAATGAAAGTCAGGGGCAAAATTTGCCAATATTTGTTTCCCTCTCATGAAAAATCATTGGCACTTTATTTACTTTGTTCAGCCTTGGCCAACACTGGTCAAAAAATGTCAGCACCAAAGTTAAAATTCACTCCTCACTGACAGAAAAGAAATGGTGTTTGTTGGTGTGTGCAAACAAAAAGAGGCAGAAATCCACATTTCTCCCGTATTGTTCTGTAAACTTTTTCACTTTTATTTTCTACATTTGGATCAGCTCAGTGTGGAAGCTTGGACAGGTCAGTTGAATTAAAATCCCCCACCCCCAAATATCAGAACAATCGATCCACTTTCTCTGTCTCACAATATAAAAACAAAACAAGAAACGTTCACATCTTCAGCACACAGTCGTTCACTCCGACATGAAATCAGTCAGTGGCCTCATCGAACTACTACCACGTCCAGGACAAAGATGAACTGGGGACTTGTCCTACATGTAAACCCTCCTCCACTGGAGGAAGCTGAAATGGTAAAAACCTTTATGAAATGACCTCTCCTGCCCTGACTCGCAGCGGCAGGAGTGATAGAGAAGAAAGAAAGCATGATGGTTGAAATAAGATTGACACACTGATGTTTCTGTTCAGCAGTCTGTGATATGAAATGGGAAATACTGCAGGTGCATGAGATATACAGTCATGATTTCAGATATGTCTGCTGCTGCTGTTCTTTGTAACCAACAGTTCAACCCTTCCCTCCCCTCGGCTCTCTGCATTTATTATTCCGTCCCTGATTAAGTCACCGAACACACCTCAGCAACATCTCTTTGATATTCTAATAACGGCTTCCTTGGCTTCCTCTCCTATTGTAGAAATGTCCTCAGGAGAGCGTGGAAAAAAGAAGAAAAGCAGCATTTTGCTTTTTATATGAAGCATCTGCAGTCAGTCTATGCTACCGAGTCTGGCTGTCCAACAGCGAGGAATCAGAGAGCCATTTGTCCTGGTAAACAGGGAGCTGATGGACTGGGATTAACAGAAATCACACACTCTCACACGCACGCACACATGCATCCACGTACTCACACACACACACACACACACACACTCCACTGGAGGAAAAAAAGCCCTTGGAGTGTCTTGAAGAGGTCATTGAGAAGAAGATATGACAAAATGGATTAAAGTATGAGGCTAGTGCAGCCTGTTTCCTATATGTTTACAGGTCATGTGTATGTTTGAGTTCCTTATGGTTGAACACATCATTAGGCAGTGAACATCAGTTACATATGCAGAGTTCCTGTTTGTGTGTTAGCTCTATGTTAAACATCTTAAAAGTCAACAGAGACTGATAGACATACTAATGTTACTGCTCTGTGGCACTCTCACAGGACTGTAGAAACACAAAACCATAGAAAAACAAATGGACATAGAAATCTCAAGATATCGCAAACATAGTTCTCTATCTCCAGTTCTCTGCTGACAGCAGAGGTCAGTCCTCGTTCTCTTGTGATTCGTTTGTGAAATAACTTGGAAATTCCTCAGTAGAGAGGCTTCAGTCTGAGGGATGAAATACTGAGGTGTCACACCAGAGGGAGACACACACTGCTGCAAGACTGTAGGAGGGGCGCTCTCTCACACACACACAAACACACACACACACACACGCACACGCACACGCACGCACGCACGCACGCACGCACGCACACACGCACACACGCACACACGCACACACACACCCTTCTTCATTGGAGTTCACCGGAGTTCATTTCATTACAAGTTTAAATAAAAAAAAAAAAAAACATAAAACAAGGAATTTAGCCCCCCCTCTCATTGCATACATTCATCTTAGAATACACATGCACGCGCACACACACAAACACACACCTAAGTGCACACATTCTCTCATCAGAGGCAGTCAGTAAACGTTTAGTGATGAGTTGAGAGATGGACTACTTTGTCCAGGGAAGCTGTGAGCACAGAATCTCGACTCTGTCCGTCAGTCTCATGTTCACTCCCAGGAGTCACGTCACACTCAGCGGTTAAAATCTCTTTAAAAAAACAAAAAATACAAACGTAAAATAACCAACCACAGTCTCCTGGTGGGAGTCTTTGCTCTTTTGTCGCACTGAGGGGGGTCAAACACACTCCTCCCTCCAATCCCAGTCAGAGGTAGTACCATCCGATCCATCCTCCTCTCTTCCTGAATCCCTTCATGGGAAGTCTTTTCTTTCCTTGTGCCCAATTCTGATAAACACCGACTGTTCCCCTGATTGCTCACTCTGGGCTGCTGTGTGTGTGATTGTGTGTGTGTTTGGGAGTGTGTGGAGCGTGGTCAGAAGACCTCTGGTAGTGTGACATTGCGCAGTAGCCACTGTTGGGAGCGTGTGTGTGTGCAGTCTCTGACGCTGGGCACCTGGCTATCCTCCTCGCTGGCCTTGTCCAGACACTGGTTACTGTTGACGTGGATCAGGGTCAGCTTCTGCACAGAGAAAACAGAGCGTGTGTGAGAGGGCATGCAAATCAAGCTGGTTCATATTTAATCACAAGGACAAGTACATTTATAACTATTCATACAGTATATCTGTTTACAAACTCTGTCACACTTCGTTTGAGGCTCAGTGGAATTTTGGCTCAGCTCTCAGCGAGAGAAACTCTTTGGTTAAGTTGGGTAATGTGTCATCTACAATTTATATCAATCACTAACTAAAGACAATAAATATTCCACCAACTGAAATGACAGCTGGTCTTAATTTTTTGTCGCTATATCGTGTGACAGTGGGTTTATAATTTTGATATGATGAAAAATGGGAATTCATTTTTAAGGGCTTTAAATTTATTACAAAACTGTTCAAAAATGCAGTCAAAGAAACATTGGTGCACAATCAGTAACCATGGAATGTATCAAACATGGACACTGTTTCAGTGACGTCACCCAATTGATTCTAAAGAGACATTTGAAGGTGAATGATGTCTGTCACCATATAGGTAATACTGTATCCAAAAAACTTTCAACAGATATAGTAACAGGAAGGAGTTAAAGTGGACCTTAAGCTTACAACACCCCCACCTCCCTGGTAAATCAGCCACGCCCCAAAGTATGCAAATGTAAGCATAAAATAATATAATCTCAACAGATGAGTAAAAAAGAACCCCCCCGGCCCCCCTACATTGTGTATGTATAAATAAATGAGCTAGTAAGATCCATAACATGAGGACATTCAGCCCCACATGTGTGAGCCTCAGTCAGACTCAAATTCAAAAGATGATGCACCAAAGTCAGTGGCTGTCAGAGGTATCAGTGACAGGTTTAGTTTGAGTCTTTTTTATGTTGTTTGTTAGCTCGTTAGCTTATAGCTTGGCGTAACTGACACAACTGGTAAGTGTTCAGAAAACAAACTGACATCAGCAGATGTGTTTCATAGTATTTATGGTACATAGGGGAAAATAGCTCCAGGGTCTGGTTTGATGAAAAACTGACAATCATATTTGCCATAAAATGAAAAAAGGGTTCTATATTTTTTTTTCTGTTCCTTTAAAGAAAGTCTTAAAGAGAAAATCTGCACACTGTTCTTTTCTCTTTTCTGCAGTTTATCTATTTTTGTCCTGCACCTGTATGCATATTACAATTTTTTTCCTCTTTTTGAAATGTTCCTTTAAAGACACAAATGTTACCTTGTTGTTTCTGTTAGTATTTTCATGTTTAGATTCCTTATTTCATCACATATACCATAATGTGTTATGTGTAATATTTCTTCCACTCACTACAGGGTCGTAATCCCAGAGCTGGTTGCCTTTGAGGTGATGACACTTGAGCATCATGACAGGTCCGTTTAACTTGGATACATCTAGACACAAGTCATCCGTTCTGATCTCCTTATTGGCCGTGTAGGAAAAAACCTGAAAGTCACACAAACAAATGTCAGATGAAAAAAAAACCCAAATAATTCCCATCATTCTACTCCATAGAATTTATTCTAGTACTAAGCTTTCATTACTTCTGCCAGAAATGAGGCTAAAATCAGTTTGTCAAAAACCTTTCACTGTATGCATCTCATGAAAAAATCTGTTTATTGCTTTTTGAATGATTTTTCAAAGTCATGTTCCTCAGATACCTGGTTGCCTCCCATGCCATGGCAGTTGAAAATGCCAACTTTTTCATTCTCTTTGCGTGCCATGTTGTCCAGGCACTGGTTGGTCTCCACGTTACGGATCTGAGCAGAACACACAAACAAAAACACACATCAAAAAAAGACAATAACTTGATTCTTTGTGAGTGCTTGGAAGTCAGACTAAAGGTGTTGAAGCATTGACACTTTCTGTCATTCTGTCATGTGAATTACAATATGTTCAAGTATATGAGTCATGTGTTATTTATGAGTCGTGTGTGTGTGTGTGTGTGTGTGTGTGTGTGTGTGTGTGTGTGTGTGTGTGTGTGTGTGTGTGTGTGTGTGTGTGTGTGTGTGAGCGTACCTCTCCCAGAGAGTAGTAGTGTCTGGGGATCTGGGAGTCAGGATAGACGTTCTCCAAGTACCAGCTGAAGGGTTTACATTGAAGCTTTTGTCTCAGAGCCGAACGAGACGTGATGTCACCATAGTCCACTTTGGTCACACCTGCACGCACATGCACACACACACACACAGACACACAAACAGACATTAAAATGAAAGTCAGCAAATCAACCACCAAACTAGGATCCAGAGCTAATGTTTCCATTAGGCGTTATTTAAAGTGTGTCACTGCTGGCGAAGGAAAAGACGAAAAAATGATTTAAAACACACAAACACAGACTTAATTTCAGAGCTTATGGTCTGATGGTAAAATACCTAAAAAGCCTAATGTTTAAAAGTGACACTTGGTCAAAAATACATTTGGTGAATATCAAACTTACATAGATTGAGTGGAGCTGGCTTTTTGCCGGAGGGCAATTTAGTGGAATAGTTTCCAAATAAATAATAAAACCTACCTGCCTAAATTATTCAATTTGCTAACACTGTGCACAACAGGGGTCTTCCACAAGCTCAAGCTAGTAAGCTAGTAGCACAAGAATGCTGGATTCCTCTTGGCGCTCTCTTGAAACTTTTGAAAAACACATCAGGGCCCCTACAGAGCCAGTGTTTCGTCTGCATGTTTTGGGTTCCTGTAGAAACAGGATGTAGCAACATGACAGACTACTTTAAAGACAATCATTCTGTCAATAGCTCATCATAAGTGAATGAAACATAACTTTTCTTATTTCAGGTGATCATACACTAATGAACACATGAGAATCATAGTCCATTTCTTCCTGTCAATTACAAAACACAACTGCTTTAATAACCCATAGGTTGCAGTGACTCTGACAGCTTGGTGGAAACTTATGGGACATTACACCACATAAATGAATCCCAAAGGGCACTTAACAGACTTTCAAACCAATAATATTTAAAATAAAAAGGAAATCCTGCCATTACACATCTGGCTCGCTTATTTGAAGACAACTTAACAATAATATTTCATGAAACCCTCAAACAGACAGGTGTGATATCTGTGGTAACAGCTTACTTCAATACTGACAACACACTCTCAAAGATCAAATCAGCCTAGTCAATAAAGCTCTAGAACCACCTCAGGCGATTGAGCAGATCACACAGATAAAACATTCACACTAGGCAATCTGTACCGTGCAGAAACTCGTTTGACCCCCAAGTCCAACTGGCACAGTATGAAGAGGTGTGCTTCAACACTGACATGACTTATAATCGATCCCTGTCTTGCATAACTGAGAAATCCAGGATTGTAAGAGGGTTGTATTTTTGAAAAAATACTAGAGCGCCATTCCTGGCGTGCTCTGGCAGCATTACACGTTGGGCCTGGAGCAGTGTGATTGCCGGCCTGCGGGGTCTGGGGAGTTCGGACAATTGTGCTTCAGCATGGTACTGGGCAATGTGGCCTAATGTTAGTGAGCCCTTAATATTAAATGAAAACAGCTGTGAGTATCCTTGTCTTCAGGTGGCGATATCAAAATGTCCACAGACCTCAACTGTAAGTGCAGACTTTACAAGTTCAGAACTTATTTGACAATACCAGAACAGCTCCCCCTTGTGGAGACTCTGCAGCTTCAAAAAAAGAAAAGAAAAGAGTGACGGTACAGAGGGAATCCTGGGCTAGCTCTAAGAGCTGCTTCGCCTCTAAAATTATTCTCTTTAAGGTACTTTTGCTTAACTTTTAGTTGTTTTTCCCGAGCCAGCTCGTGTGTTCGCCTGTGTAAGCGTGTGTGATTGCATGAGTCAATTGATGCTTTGCAGCGTGAAATTACTCACCGCCCCCGTCCCGCACTGTTAGGTCACCACTGCTATATCACACTGACGCAGGGTTAATGGATAGATCAAAACCGCCACGGAGATTAACCTCCACACATGAGCACATGCATGCATACTTTCATGAGCACAATCACACACACACACAGTCGTGCACACACCTGGAGAGATGATATAGAAGAAGTTTTTAAATTCATCCATCCAGACTTCTGCCAGGCGCCGGTTGTTTTTGTTGATGATCTGTCCTGTTCCCCCAGGGAACGTGTAGGGCGTTGCCTTTCTGAACACGTGACCAACATGAGAGCATGTGACGATCTCTAGAGTCCCACCACACTGCCAGATCTGTGAAGTAAAAGCCTTGTGAAAACACTTGTACTCCATTCTGTCTCGAGTAGACACACTGCCTGACAGTGAACAAGTAGAGGCTGACCAGTGACACAGAATGGCTCTGCCAGTGTTTTGACAGTCTGAATAAGTTTGATTAATCGGCAGTCAGGATGACGCCTGAGAAAGTATTAGTCAAGTCAACAATTTAGTCAGACAAGTCAAACTCACAAGTATAATGAGAATATGTGAGTGTGTGTGGGTTTGTGTTTCAGACACTCCTGAATGCCTGCCAGGCCATGGAAGAATACAGTCATGTCAGTTGGCTGCGGGTACGTTCACTCACTCTGAAAGAGATTTCCAGGTTCTCTCCTCCCCAGATGTCCATGCCTGCGTCATATGTGCCGATCTCCTGGAAATAATCTCTGTCTATGGAGAACAAGCCACCCGCCATGGTGGGAGTTCTGTAGAGAGACAGGAAGTAGATTAAGAGCAGGGTAAATTCAGAGCAAGGTGGATCTGTGCAACTTGATTCACCAAAGGCCAACTTTCTAAAAGGTCAAACAGTATCTAGAATATTGTATTTCACTGCTCTCATCCCCTGTTTATTTGCAGCTTTACTGGTTTTTGATGTTGTCTTTTTGATCTTAATACTCTTTTGGTTGTTCTCCCACTTAGATAATGGTTCCCTCTCTTGAAGAGCCTGATTATTTTCCTCTTTGGTTGTTTTTGCTTTCATTTGGCATCAAAGTTAATTTACCAACATGTAACATTGCAGACAAACTGACAAATTCAGCACATCTGATAGCAAAGAGGTTAAAGGATTTTTCTGGCAGCACTCATAGTACAGTGAGTGTTTTTACTGAACCATTTTTCAAAGGTCATTTGTGATGCTAAATAAATACACTTTACAATGTTTTTCTTACACTAATGTGTCCCTAGTCTGTCCACAAACCCCCAAATTAAGAGAAAGGTCCATCCTCTCTGTCTTTTGCTTACTCCACTTTTCAGAGAATGTGAACTCAAACAGGCCGTTTGCAGATTTTGTCTTGTCACAAAGGGCAGTAACCCCTCCCCCTGGTGGGTGACACTCCCACAGCTAGGTGTTTGTTCTGTCCTCTGAGTCTGCCTTTTCACCATAAACAATTGGGCATGGTGCTAAAAAGCCCAAGCCACCCAAACCCTTCCAGAGGGGCGTGGTCTATTACAGCTCATTTACATTTAAAGCTACAGACACAGAAAAAGCCTGTTCTGAGTAGGGCTGAAATAAAGGGGTTTATATGTATGAATCAATACAGGATCAAAGTGGATATTTGGCTAGAAACTTCACAGACATGTTTTAAGGACCTCTAAGAATGATTTAGTACATTATTTGAAAACAGCTTGTGATGCCCCCCTAACATCCAGTTTAAAATCAGACACAGGGCCAATGAACACCCATGTCAGTCTACACTGGTGTGAGACACATATATGGTTTACTTGAGGGACTTTTATGCTTGAAATACTAAACTTTGTTTAAAATCAAGCCTGGGGACCGCCAATGTGGAGCCTGGCCAGAAAGAAAATGGGTGTTCACCATTCTCAGCCCCATTCTTCCACCATACAATCTGCAGTCAAGCTCAGGTCTGAAACCCCTACATCAGCTGCTAACCGCTCATCCTCAACCCCACCCATCCCCTACAACTATCACCTTTCACACAAATATGTGTAAAAATACCTACTCATCCACAGATACCTATTCATACACCCCCCTCTCATTCTTTCTAGCCAACCTCTTAAATGCCTTCAAATATAAATGACACAAGGTCATTTCACATGTTAACATGTTCAAGTCTCCTTTAGACCTTGGACACATGTTTTCTGTCCATTATATTTCCAGAGACTTTCCAAGTGACCTCAGACTTTTGTTAGTTCAGTAAATTACAGGGTAGACGAGGCGATAACGACCGGTTTAGTAGTCAAGGTTTTTCTTCTGTAGTGACGCTCTATGGGGTTTCGCATATTGTGTCAGGAAATGGTTGGTGGTGAAAACATCAGTGTTAATGGTTACATAATGAATCGATTCTTCACCAAAGGAAAACTCAGTGAACTATATTGAAACCTAAAACATAAGCGTTAACTAAACCTAGTTTTCATGTCATCTCAATAATGTAGAAGCCCTTTGTGGCGGGAGAGGGCTTATGTAAATTAAGTCATTTATGTATAATTGTTCTTAATTCCTGACCTGACACTACAATCCCTTTCTTGTTTATTTAGGCCACTTAGAAGAAACCCTAAGGAGCGTTTTGTTATGCAGAGCTGTGAAAAACAAGTGAAAACAGGGGCACAGTGTTATATAAGATATATTATGTGTGTGACCTTGAATATTGGCATCAACAACGCTTAAAAACAAGAGCAGGAAGAAGAGATGATAGACAGGCACAAATATGTTTCATTCGGGTTCCAGGATCGGGGTCATGAGAAATCATACAACAATATTATACTGAGTCTTACATAAACATCTTGACTCAAGCTACAGAGGAAGTTCAACCTCTTTCTTCAGTGTTTCTGCCTTCACAACATGTTATGACTTTTAAGTGGGATAAATGAAACGCTGCTCAGAGTGCAATTACTCTGTGCACATCAATTGTAAATGCCTATCAGCAACACTGCAGCTCACAGCATATAAGTTATGTTTAACAGCTGACTGACTGAGTTAGTGTGTGTGATTCATGAGATATTTTACTAATGGATTCATTTTGTCCCTGTAGGCAAATTCTCTGCAAATTCTCTTCACTTGACCCAACAGTTAGGTCAGGGTTAACAGTTCGCCAGCAGCCTCAGAGCTGCCGAGGATTAAAGATGCCTCTGAATTTCTCTTACCCCACATCAGCCGATTTTAAAGTTTCATCTCGCTTTATCACGTACCTGACAGGCAGCGTGCGGTCTCCTTTGCGGCGATCCATCTCTCTCTGGGGTACAGGGTACCAACGGAAGTTTAGCTTCCAGTTGAAGCCCCCATATGTCATGTCGGATCCTGCCATGTACTCAAATGTATCATCGCTGATCACATCGATGATGGGGCAAACCACCGTTCTCCTGAAGCAAACACAAATACAGAGAGAAAAACCTCAATTCTCATATATGGGACCATGCTGCACTGTGACTTCTCATCAGCTATCATGTGATCTTTTTACCCCTAGGGTCTGTAGCACATGGTCTAAATAGCATTCAGGGTGTTGTCCCACCCCTGATTTTCTAGTTCAAACAGTGAATGAAGTAAGGCACAGGACACAAATGATTTTTATTAAGTGTCTTATATTTACTATGGTGTGTTTGAGGCTTTGTATAAATGAAAGCAATCAGAATGTAATCTCACAACTGTTGCTTTGCTATTTATTTGGCCATCATTTTTATATACCCCACTTGAGCCCTGGTTATTTGGGAATTTACCCAGGTCGTCAGTGGTTCACTACATTGATTATTTGAACATGGCCAAAGAATTAGTTGTATCAATGTAACATTCTTTGTGAGTACAACAAAGAAATGGAGGCTGTTTATCTTTTTTTTTACCCATTTTTGCTACTGGTTTGTACTTTGTTTATATTCTCTTCTGAGTGGACCCTGGACATTCTGTGGAATGCTTCCCTTTTTATTGTCCCTCATGTGACCCACACAAGCACCAGGGAGAGAGCTGTTCTGTTTTTATGCTCCTAAATTGTGGAACTCACTGCAGAACAGAAAGCTCTCTGGGTGTTTTTTAAAAGTAAACCAAAGATCTACCTTTTTAATCTGGCTTTTCATTAGGAGTGATTTTACTGCCTTTCCTTTTTTCTTAATCATTTTGTTTTTACATTTCTCATGTTTTTTTATCGTCTTTGTCAACTTCTGAACCACGTCTTATTCTGATATTTTTTCCCTGTTTTATACATTTTATTTACTTTATTTCATCTATATCTTTTTAAAAATACATTTGATTCTTTTTATTATTGTATTACTTTCCCTCTCTTTAATTACTGTTCCTTTCTGTCTCTTTTGTGAAGCACTTTGGGCAGCATGTTTTCATTTGAGTTTTTCGTTTGAGTAGTCCTTTTCAGATTGCAGTTCTGCAACAGTGCAGTTAGTTCCGCCGTCAGTACACCAATATTACATTCGCAATGTGTGCAATTTCACATTGCGTTACAGTGTTTGGAACAGTGTGCACGCCTTTTGGTGTGGTTTGGGTTAGTTTGGTTTCAGATGTACAATAAATATTTATCTGAGTGTATGTTTCACTGTGCAGAGAAAGCATGCAGCAGTGAGAGTTTTGCTCTGTCTCAGCCTGTTGGTTGCAGCCCATGCAGGGCTCTATCATTGATCTAGCAAAGTTCCCTGAGGTGAGGAAGGTGTAAGGAGGTAGTTGTGAGTGTGTAGTACCACAACAGCCACACAATGCTGACGGTGGTATATTGATGGAAGGAGATGTGAAACAAAAGCTTGCCATCTCCCAACACCCTTTTCCATCAACAACTCAATTTGATTGCCTATGAAAAATGATATATCACATACGTTAACTGAGGAGTAGGACTGTTTCTGTCTCTGTGTGAAACAAACAGAGGGTAAGTGAGTGATGAACCTGCCTGTGTAGGCGATGATGTATCTTAATATCTGAAAAATTCACTGTTCAAATGGCAGGATTCTGCACATCTTATTTTAATAATATAGGTTTTTGTAGATCATTATAACAACTTTTTCTGCTGCCTTATGATATTAATGCAAAACAAATGCAACTGACCTCAACAGACATTTGCCTTAACACAATCTTTGCACTGAACGTGAAAATGACAACTGCAACACAGAGATACTATCAATGATAGATGGGCCTGCGTGCTTTCACTAGGCCTAAGATAGGGCTCTGTGTGTGTGTGTGTGTGTGTGTGTGTGTGTGTGTGCCTAAGTGAGTACCTGCTTGGGTAAAGCGGTTTACAGAGAATAAGTAAGTAAGCATCAAATTAACACAAGGGCAAGCCCCCTGCAGGTTTAACATAGTTTATCGATTTTTTTTATGCGTGCAATTGGGATGCCTCTTTTGTAGTGTGTGTGTCAGTGTGTCTTACTTGTCTTGCTTTATGCGGGCCAACAGAGGCTCGAGCCACCCTGTAGTGCATTCACAATGAGCATCCAGGAAGGTGATGACCTAGACGCACAGAGAAAACACGAGACAAACCAAACAGTGAACACCATATGGAGATTAGGTCACTGGTCAGTGGGTGTCAAGTATTTGCATATGCACACACACATTTACACATCCAGAAAAACGCACAACACACACACACCTGACCAGTGGAGAGGGATGCTCCCTTGAGGCGAGCACGGATAAGGCCGGAGCGCTGCTCCATCCTCACCACTCTGACAGGAACCTCCAGCCTCCTGACGTACTGCTCCAACGGCCGCTTTAGGAAATCTTAAAGATAAGAGATAATCACATAAATGCAATTAAAGAGCTAAATTAATACACAAGACTGACAGAAACACACAACGAAAGGAGAATTTTAAGCGTCTTCTCCAAAATATTACTTAAAAAGCAAAAGTCATCAAAAGGTAAGTGTGTGTTTGTGTACATGTTTCTTAGCATGCCTTCTTAAATCACACCTGTAGAGAGCTCCCCAAATACACACACACACACACACACACTTTTTGATTTGCAAGACGCCAACCTGAGTGTCCATAGGGTTAAACGGTGCTATTTGGTGGCGGCTTGGGGAGTGTGTGTGTGTGTGTGTGTGGGGGGGGGGATTGAGGGTAATAACAGAGTGTAATCCCTGCGGCTGGCGAATTAAAGACCTAATCTCCCCCAAACAGGGATTAGCAGCATTGCACAGGGTGGAGTGGCACACACAGCTCATATATGCTGACTGGCTGTTGGGCACTAGAGCCAACACACTCTCATAGACACACACACACTAACCCAGCAAAATCATACAGTAGTAAAAATAGGCTAAGCCTCAAACAAGAGGAACAAACATTGAAGGACTTGTGTGTGTGTTTATATGTGTGTGTGTATATACCTCTCTCGCTCGCATCGTCCACCAGCACAATCTCCTCCAGCAGTGTGTGTGGTGAGCGGTCGATGACGGAGTGGACGGTTCGCAGAAGCGTGCTCCAAGCCTCATTGTGAAAAACAATCACCACGCTGGTACGAGGAAGATTATCTGGGTATAATTTATTCTTGCACCTTCAAAGAAAAAAAAAATCAGAATCAAACACTTGAACGCAAAAACAGGACTTCTATGATAGAAGAGATGCTTCATGCATGTAAGCATGTGGAAGCTAAGTACATTTCATTACCAGAAGAAAAGGAAAACACACTGTCAAACTGCAAGAACATATCACACGGCTCAAGGGGAAGAAATGTGAGAGTTGCATCTTAACCAACACAGACAAAAAGACAACCACATGTGCATGAAGCGAAGTTGTTTGCTTTGAACACCGACAAAACTGAGCTGACAGAGACGGAAAGAGATAAGAGAGAAACACTCGAGTAGAGACAACACAATCCAGCCTCTGTTTGATTGTAGGTGACTGCAACACAGAGAGGCAGAGCTGCAGCTAAAGAGAATCAGCACACAAGAGAGAGCTGAACAAGAGGGAAAATAGCTTGCACTAAAACATCAGCTCAAGCGCATTAGTCAGTCATGGAGTCCCTGCACTAATCAGATCATCATTTATGGCCTCGTGAAAAATCATATTTTTAGCAACTTCCAACAAAGAAACTGAGGGGGAGTAATGAGGGAGCGAAACTGAGCATATATCCCCAAATTTAGATGAAAAAAGTCGATACAGAAATAGCGGGGTCAGCATGATGACAGTTGATTAGTGATGCTAATTAGACTGTGACTCATTATCATAGCCGTGTAGAGCAGCACACACATCGAACTTGCTTATTGAGGGACAGAGGAGAACAGGAGTGAGTGAAGACCAGAGACGATGAATATGAGTGAGGTGATAACTGTGTCACATGCTTATTTATATATTCCGTTTTTAATAATGACACAGGTGGGATTGGATTGTAAGATCATGAAGAAAAATAACATAAATTGTGTTTAAACTCTCTATTCAAACCACATGTATGTCTTTAAGATGCATTTTATGCTTTCCAGGCAGCCACTGATAAAGGATTATTTAATAAGTTGAAGAAAATCAGCCTAACATAGATGTAAAACTTGCTCTATGTAGCTTCTTTAACAAAGTGAATAATCACGACAAATTAATTTCTGGTTATTTTATCCATAATAAAGATTCTTAGGTAATTTTCTAGGAAACAATTTGAGTATTTTAAGATAAATAAAACAACTTTTAATGATACATCCAAACAGGTTCAGAGGATTGAATCCATATTGCAGCTTGCAAAACCTTGTATGGCTCTGGAAAACAAGAACAGGTTTGGCGTTGCATTAAAGACAATGTTTCCATGTGAGAATCTTAAAACAAACGTTTGAAGAAATTTTAGGCAGTTCTATTTTAGCGTTGCAGACGGCACACAAAACTACACCACACATTAACACATGGTACTGAAATATTATATATAAAAGCCCTGTGTCCACCTAGCGTTTTTTTCTGAGTGCCAGCATTTTTTTTTTCAAATTGTGTTCAATGAGTAGAGCAGCAGAAGGACACCTGGACAAAAAGTGCAGCACCCAGAGTCTTTTTTCCGATCAACTTTGCAGAAAGGCGCTGTTGACGTCATTGGCGCTCTTTTCCACATGTATGATATTCCCCGTATTTTTGCCGCCTGCGCCTTGCGTCTTGCATGCACATCCTATTTGCTTCGTGTCTCATAGGGTAAAAGCAATCTCAAATCAAAAACGTGCAGTAAAAAGCAACAGAGCAGTGTGGGTCATACAGCGGCTGATGTCAACAGACTGTTGTCATGGAGACAGGACGGATGTGCAGCACTTTCTTCTCAGTACTCAAACGCTTCATGCTAGCACTCCCAAGCGCACAGCCATTACTTCTGAAAAAAAAAAGAACGCTAGGTGGACACTGGGCCTAAGGGTCACAAGGTCACACAGGCTTAAACCTCTTTCACAGTCATTGAAAAAATTACATTTTAGGGAAACAGCTTTAACAAACAATCTCAATCACTAGGAACAATACACACATTACAGATGGATTGATTTGCACAGCAGATGGCAAACAAAAATGTACTCATCCAATCACAAATGAATGTTAAATGTTACTCACAAATTGCAACAAAAAAAACCCAATTGAAGCAGGGATCCATTTTATTGAAGAACACAAGTTAGAGTCACGTGGAACACTGCTGACTGCTATGATACCTGCATGCAGCGCTCTGACATCAAACTGTGTCAGTATTTTTCTCAAAAGACACTCAGAGAGCGTCTCAAACTTTCATGTAGTATTGACAACAAAACGAAGCAAGCTTGTGACTTCCTTCCTCTGGCAGACTCGGCTGTCACAATAGCCAAAAGGAAAAGGTTCTCTCTTCCTCAGTCGTCAGAGATCCCTCACTCGATGTGATTGAGAATGCAGGAATGCTTCCTCTTTCTCTCTGCTGCTGCTGATTCTGACTGAAGGAATGTATCAGCAGCAGAGGAGAGGAGGTCAAGAATACAGTCCATCCTGCAGCTGCCTCTGAAGCACATTAAATAACACACATAGAGACTCTCAGTGTGTAATATGCATACATGTGCTTGTGTGCGTACATGCGCTTTCTGCAAGGAGGGTGGGTTGATGAGCACACACGATGATTCACTGTGAAAACAGAGACAACCTCTGAGTCTTCCAACTTCTACACACGTCAGTTCGTTTTTCCTCTCTTCTTTGTGTACAACAAACCAACAAAAAAAACAAGAATTTTTAGGCTTCAGACATGATCTGTGCTGTGCAGCTCATGGAAAAACAAGCATGCCTGTGTGTCAACAGAGCCTACATGTGTTGACACATGTTGTGACTATTTGTCACATGATGTGGATTCAAAAAATGAGGGGTGGTTGTGAGTCCTGTGTATCCCAAACAGCCTGGATGCTGCTGGAGAAACATTTGGCAGACGCGAAGCAGCATAATGAGTTACAGGCTGTTTCTCCAGCCAGTGGGTTGTGGGTATAGTAAGGATAGGCGGGCAGACTGGTTCTGATTAAATCACTCTTGCAACATTTAGCTCAAACAAACACGCTAATACACACACATACATAAATCTATATATTTGACTCATTAAAATGTTGCAGTCAGAATCTCAAAGCGGAAAATGTCATGTCTCTGAGAGGTGTGGTCATGGAAAGTCTTTCTATATACTGTGGACCCACCCAACCACATGTACACACACACACACTCAGGCTTGACTGTGATGTCAGAATGAACTATTCTCTCTCTTTTTTTTCCCTTAAAAAACAACATTGCAGATTACAAAGAAAGAAAGAATGTGTGACTTTCCTCTTGAATTTTCAGCTAATGGTGAACCATCATGATTTCATTCAGAATTGTCTCAAACTGCTGATCTACACACATATGTGGACATATCATAAAAATAAACACATACATACATCCACCAACACATTGCCTGGCTTGATATTGACTCTCTCTTATCTCCTAATTGGAAAAGGGGATAGACGGAGAGAAGGCTGAGTGAAAACACACCTAGTAATCAACTCTCGCTCTAAGACTAAACCCCATTTCACGGATCAACGTCCTCTTTCTTTGCTGCCTGTCTGGTGTGCATGTGCGCCTGTCTGTCACTCTTGTGTCTGTCAGTCAGTCTTTCTGTGTACCGCCCAAAAATACCTTCATTACCGATTCATGCGTCTGTTCTTTTACAGAAGCACAGGTAAGGGCGAAGGGGGGATGGGAGGCCAGAGTTGGTTTACATCTGGTTGAACTACTCTTGACATATCTTCAGGGCTGCAGGCTGGATGTGGGACTGTCTTGTGTTCTAACTGCCTCTCTCTGTTACTGTTTGCAAGCGTGACAAACCTGCAGCCTTTGGCACTGACACACACTTTAGTAACACTATACTCCTCATTATGTTAATTGCACATTCAAGGTAGTATTACTGAAGCAAAATAAAAAGGAGGAAGCCAAAAAGCAATCATTAAAACCTCCTTTGTAATCATTACCCTTCGAATTGACTGTAATCTTTGTTTGTTTTTTTTCTTGACTTTCTTCATACTTAAATAAAACTGTAAGCCAGTGAGCTTAAGGCTCTGTACTGCTGAGTCAATGTTTGGCGGCAAGGTCTCATCAAAATGGATTCATTTCTTCCTTAATGTGATGTATTTCCTGTAAAAACGGGACTGACAGGATCAATGTTGATGGTGAGCCAATCAGCTTTTAATCATGACGACAAAGATTTGAAAGGACAGCCAGAGAAGGTTGGATTGTTAAAATCTATTGTTTCTTTACAGCTTTTAGTGACACCCACTAGTGCAGCTTGATGTCACCTCATAAAATCCCTGGTTAGCTGTTTCCCAGTTGTATATGTCCAATTCATAATAGGACTTGGATTAAACAAAATTGCAAATACTTATGTGTTCAATAATGAACGGCGGTGTCACAAAGAGCGCCCAAAGAACGAGGTGATTGTCTACATATGTAATTTATACTATCAACACATACGACAGGATGGGAAAGAAGCCTCTGTACGGCAATATTACAGTGGAAATCCCCTGTTATACACTTTAAATGAACCAATAAACAATGAAAAAAACACAAAGGACAACAGATAAAGACACTGCATTTTTTTTACTGTGGTCAACTCTATGATTCACAGTGGAAAATCCCCACATTCACACAGTGACATCACCAGGCTTAAACTAACAGCTAACACACCAGACCAACGAAAATAAATTAACTAGCAAATGCACCACAGTCTGATTAATCTCTCTTAATACGGTTGATTTACGTTTGATTGGTCTATTTCCCATGTTGCATTGAACAAGAAAAACTATGGAGCTTCTCACAGCTGGAAAAAAAAAATCAAATGAATTGTGTATGACAGTATAGCAGCTATGGGAACATAGCAGAACAACAACAACAACAACAGCAACAGCAACAACACAATAATTAAATCTCTGGGTAGCTGTTTGCTGTCTGAGTTGAGAGTAATTAGGGAAAGTATCATAAAATCACAGCCTCAATGAAATGCATGTCGACTTGCATAATTATTTTCTGTTTGCTTACAATGTTGTAGTATTTTGTAAACTCAGTACAGGAAAGCATATGAGGACAGTTATTACAAAGAACAAACAGAGAGCAATCAGATTGTGCTATGGAATGAGACACACTTATTTCTTTTTCAGGAAGTTCAAGTGCTCATGGATTCTTTCCCTCCACCACACCCCGTCTTATCCAGTGTCTAACTGTTTTAATGACTTCCTCGGGCAAACCTTCCTGTTAAGGATGGTCTTTTGATTTTCGATGAATTGCAACTCTTTTAATATTTCCAACCATTTGTGGTCATTCTTAATGTGTTAGGGTTTTGCAGAACAAAATGCCTGACGTTGTGACTGATTGTGCAGGTTTCTGACCAGACGTCTGGCTTACAGACTATAGATCATCACCAGTTGGAACTATCCCAGAAGTGGACATCAGTGAGAAAAGCTTGATGAGTGCAGTAAGAGTAAGTGACAGGGCAGATAATAGCTGTAGGGAGGCTGCTCACCCTTCCAGTCGGACATCAGGCAGTGACCGATTGAGAGCAATCATCTCGGAGGCCATGAGGTTGAACTGGTTGATCTTAAACATCTCCTTCATCTTCTCCTGGTTCTCTTTAGGAATCACCACAGGCTTCCCCCCCTCACCGGGCCCATCCCGCGGCCTGGCCAGGGCGTCTGCAAGAGACACACAAACATACAAGCCGGTCAACAGATGCTGCTATTTGTCTCTGTGATCACATTTCAATGGTTGGAAAAAGACACTCACCGTCTCTCCCGGGCAGTCCTCTCTCTTTTTTGTCGTCGCACTTGTTGCACTCGCTGAAGTATAGCAGGATGAACATGTCCAGCATCACCCAAACCAGAGAGGTGGCCAACACCACCTTACAGTAGGCGAACCTCCTCATCCTAAAAACGGAGGGACAGACAGAGAGAAGAGGGTAGAAATGTTAAGTCCTGGCTGAGGTGAGGAGTGATGGGATGTCCAGAGGTGCTACAATCCCAGGCCTTCCAAAGCTCTGTAGAGAAGCCCGCACTTAATTTCTTCTCATATCCCCTCTCTTCACACCCCTCAAATCCCAATCATCCTAAAGCTCTGCGCCTGAGTATCTTCTCACTGCCTCCATTCAGTCAGTCTGTCTAACTGACTCTCCTATCTCCCGGCTGTTTATCAGCCCCTCTCCAAATGGTCACCTTCACACTCAGAGAGAGCCTCAAAATCTGCACAGCGCAATGTCAGATTTCAGTATTTTATCACTTCCATACAAAACAAAAACAAAAAACAAAAAGGATATTTATAATTTATGAAGTATCAAATGTGAATTGTTTTTAATTTCAGGAACTATTCCGAGCACTATGAATGAAGACTTGTGTTCTGGAGAGGAAGTTTTATGGCATTCAGGCAATGCTTTAACTGTTTTCAAATTTAAAGTAGAGTAAGATATCTACTGGATCAGAGTTCCTATGCACGGTGCAGAGCAAGCTTATCTACTTTATAAGTTTAACATACAGAATCCCTGCATGCAGCGAGACACACACTCAGGTAAGCACATAAATACACACCAACACACACAGCCGAAGGTGGGGGCTGTGAGTGTAATTGCTTTTCTTTGGCAGCGAGAGACAGACACAGCCACATTAAAATTCCACTGCTCCCTTTTCCTTCTCTCCTCCAGCACCATCTATCCTCTCTTTGGCTGATTCTCTGCTTCAGTGATCCCGCAGGTTGCAACAGCACAAGCAGAAGGGAGAAAATTAATTTGGCTTCGGCGCTTTCTCTCTTACCCGTGGGAGGGAAAAAAGGTGTTTGTGCATAGCTAGCGTAGCTTAGCTTAGTGTAGCTTTGCACAACATCCACTGAGGATGGGGAAGTGCAGAGCAGCATTTCTAAAGTCCACCTGATAGGATTCTGGATGCACAAAGTGTGTGCACAGCATAAAACAAAAGTGAAGATCTGTTCTCTCAAAGTTTGTCTTGTCTCAGACTTTTGTGCCTGTGGAGGCCAATAGTTTGAATGCTGTGACAATTTCCTATTTTGAACACTTCTACCCGAGGAAAGACAGGAACCTCATGCATGCACAGTGTGTATTTAATCAGAATTCAACATCAGTATGGTAAACCACAGCTTTAGAGATAATCTGTGTGTGTATAGGATGTATCAGAAACTGTTTTAGAGATGGACTCAACATCATTAAAAAAACAAAAACAACATGCCTCTCTCATGTGTAAGGTAATCAATCATATTTACATTTTTGGACTGAAAGTCACACAAAAGACATCTCGAACAAAACTTGGGCCTTAAATTGGGAAAATAAAATGAGCAATGCTGATGATTTTCTTTACAATTTAAGGTGAAAATAGATCTCACACTTCAAATAGCTTCAAGGTACAACATGTAGAAGTGCATTTTGCATTAGAAAATTTACATTCAAATATCTAAATTAATAAATTTTTTAATTAAAACAAATATTGTATATTTCATTTTGTTGAGTTCTTACATTACCTCAAATATTTCAAACAGTTATCATAGCCAGAGAAATCCTTCATTTTATACTTGTAATGGCACGTGTCTTGTCGTGGCGGCCGCCATGATAGAGCTGACATAACATACACGTGATGTCAAAGACCGCTACATAGGGAAGCGGAAACTGCTACTGAAAGCTGCCGTACTGTAACTGCATGTGCTGCTGTGATAAAAACATCATGTAAATTATACTTTGACACATCTTCAGTAAACATATTCTCTTCCTCAGGTCTGTTTCGCCCGTTCCTCTCGGCTATGGTCAACTCCGAGTTCGTTTTCATCGGGGGTAGGGGGAGAGAACTCCCATGATTACCCGCCGGCATGGACGTCTTTTTGTTATTGTTTCCATTGACAGCCCCCTGGCGTCGGAAATCACATACTGGTACTTACATACTTAATTCGAGTAACAAATCCTTATTTAAAAAAAAAGAAAATGACATTTATTATCCTTATTTGTAATATTTTCCCTTCATAAAGTAGTCCCTTAATTAACATATAATGATATACATTTTTAACGCTCAGTGTGTTATTTCTGCCACAAGCAGTTTCTAATCAACAAATATATATACATATACTTAAATACATGCTATACCCATAACATATTGCTGTTATTTTCAAGCTCAGGATCCTGTCAGTGTGTACTGGAGGAGACAGATTCTGTGCTGTCTGGACTGTTAACAGCTCAGCGTGTTCACACCCTTGACTGTAGATGTGGTTACACATACAAGTGTTACTCTCAGTGTAGAAAGTGTGGAGAGAGGGCGTATTTGATGGCCGAGTGCTTTGCTGTGTGTTATTTGATACTGTATATAACCTCTGTATTTTCTGTGAGCCACAAAGTATGCAAGTTCAGTACGATTTCAAGGTTCCAACCACATCATCGAAACTCTCAGAGACAAACTGACAGCCAGCTTTGACACAGCCGATAAACCAAAAAAAAACATGAAAGCATGGTATTTTGCTGCAATATTATCATAAGTAGAATTTTTCTGGCTATCCTCAAATAATGAATCAAATTGCTTCTTTTACTGTTTGGATCACTCCCATCGAAATTGTTGAAATTCCAGGATCAGTAGGAAGCCTGAACTTCAGTTCTAGCTCTGCTCTCTGTTTCTGTGACCTCTGCAGGATTGTGCCGGCCTCACTTGACCTCCATGCAGCAACATGACACGATCTCACGGCAGAAACTTGGATGAGACCAATATTTTTACTTTACGTTTCCTCTATCTCTCCCAGAAGAGCCAGGCACATATGCCAAAGTGAAATCAGCACATTCCGGCAGAGACAGACACGGACATGGAAGCACTCTGTCACACAAACACTCACATATACTCTTGCTCACAAAGTTGTGTCGAAAATGCTGTCAGAGAGATGTCATCCTGTTTCCTTGGATGCTATTAGATCTCAGTGAGAGTAAAGAAACAGACAGCTGTGCTCCAAGCAGCAGCAGAAGATTTATATACATGTACATTGACTTAATCCGAGCTCACACACTTTCCTACTGCTGTCTTCCTGCTATACGGCTCTACTCACAGTATTTCTAATCAGGCATGGCAGCGGACACCTCAGGTCTCCTCTGCGCTCACCCTAACAGCCCCGGGTCATCCTTTACTGCTTGTGTAGCATGTGTGTGTAAGTCTTGTTTATGTTAGGCGCTAATGTCTTTGAAGTCTCTTTTAAACAGCCTGGCTCCTGATGACATTAAACAGACTCACAATTCTCCAACCTTCCTTCCCCCTGATCCATTAACATATCACGTTCTCTCCATCCTTCATTTATACCTCCACCCAGGCATCTCGCGCTCTCTTTCTCTCAGCCACACACACCACCACCCCTTCCTCTCCGTCTGTCTGTCCGTCTCTTAGTGATGTAGTCTCCTTTCAAGAGCGGTTGCCATCACTACATCCCTGCGAGAACACAATTTCCCCCTTCACATCCTTCTCTGTGTCTCTCTTCATATCCCCCTCCTCTCCTGTTCTCTACAGGCTTAATCCCCCTTTAGAGATTGCACAACCAGTGTTTCTCACAACCACTTGGAAGAATGTCTGGTCTAAGAGTAACCCAGAGCTTCAAAATGTATATTTGGGAGTGAGGAGTTTCCCTTCAGGGATTAATGTTTATATGTGTGTAAAAGAAAATTAAGAGGAAGGGAGGGAGATATTATTTATACGGGGGAAATTAAAGAAGAGGACTATTTGGTTGCTATTTAAAACAGTTTACGCTGCTAAATCATAAACTATTAACTTAGCTCAATCACAATTAATTCGTCACAAAACCAGCCGCCTTTTTTAACAACTTTTTCCACCATAAACAAACTTGTATATTGTAGATCTTTCATGACAAAACCAGAGATTATGCCATTAAAGTGTTTGATCTGTCTGTGGGTCATGTAGGCTTGATAAAGCTCAACAGTTGCTACAGCAACTCTGATGGTTGTGGTTATCATTTATACATTTGTAATGCCTATCAACTTGAGCAGAGCAAGTCAGACATCAGGGAAGGGGTGTGTGTGTGTGTGTGTGTGTGTGTGTGTGTGGGGGGGGGGGGTACAGCTAAATGACTGGAGTCCATTTATCTAGGTCTATATCTTGACTAAAAACTGTTCCCATAGCAGGAAGGCAGAGAGACAAGAACTGTCTGGGTAAGAGAGTGTTAAGACCACCCTGTCATTAGTTTAGAGAGAGAGAGAGAGAGAGAGAGAGAGAGAGAGAGAGAGAGAGAGAGAGAGAGAGTCAGAGTAAACTGTCATACTGTCTGTGGATTTATTAAACATCATGCAACTAGTGGATGAATCACTTCAGGTACCCTCTGCTTAAGCTTTATATCAGTGTTTCTCAAATAGGGGTATGCATACATCTAGGGGTACGTGGGAGTACTGCAGGGGGTACGTGACAAATGTCATAAAAAAAAGTTGCATCACACTAGTGGTGTGCGAAATAACGATCTTAGATCGTGAAGGATATAAATGTGTTGACAATCTGCAAAAACACGGAGATCGTAGAATGGAGCTAATTTGTTCATTTTATCATGCTGCAGTTTATGCACCTAAACAGACCCGTCTCCCTCTCCCCTTCTGCTGGACGCATTACCCGAAAACAAAACTTAAGAGTTAGCCCGTAAAAAGAACTCCATTGCGGTTATATGCAACTGTTTGAGATACAGGATGCAATAGACAGTTATCTGAAGAGTTTGCAAAGTTAAGGTTTGTACTTCGGGTAGCGACATAACAAACCCCTAACAAGCAACAACATTATTAGTCTGCTGAGAGTCAGACAGAAAGTCTGTGATGGGAGATGTAGGGCATAGTTCAAGTTTATTAAAGCCATTTCAACAACAGTTGATAGGACTTTGTCTTGTAATCCCGTTATTTAAACTGATGCTGCCAAGTGTTTTCTGCTCTCTCTCAGTTTTTAAAGTTATTAACAAGCCTCTCTACTTGAAGCTCATCTGTTGTGATAATGGAAACGAGAATAAAACGGTGGGAGGCGATAATATCAGAGAGGTCTGGACCTCGGTTGTTAAAAAATGTTTGAACAGTCACCTACAAACATTTATTTCCATGCATTAGTATCTATGCATCCTGCTTGAAGTGATGTCAGTCAGTAGCTCTTTCTGATCTTGTTCAGTGTGCAGCAGGCAGGTGAGAGTGAGCAACCATGGTGACTGTCTGTCCGTCAATCAACGATGTCCCGCCCCCTCCGTGAATAAAACTCTTAATTCAGTAAAACTTACTTTGAGCATGTGTCACAGAATAAGCACATTTTGGATTATGTTTGAAGTCTACATGTTTTTAAATGCATGCATTACAGTATAAAAAGGTACCTGATGAACCCTAACATAGATTTAAAGACATGAAAGAGCACACAATACTAAATCATTAATTTAAAGTGGTGCATAAAAGCCTACAATTGTACATACAAATTTATCAGAATGCAGGGAAAGACATTTCTGCTGTAAAAATGTTCTGGGGAGATGTACAGCCCCCCCCCCAACAAACACAATTTTAAAGACAGTAAACTTATAAGCACAGTATTTTTGCAATTAAAAACAAATCGTGATAAGATATTTTTTCCATATTGCCCACCACTAATACATTTTTATGGGATTTACCTCCATGTATTCTGTTCCTCCTGAAGCACTGTTTGTCTTTTGCAGAGTGACATAAGCCAACAGCTTTATGAAGACCACATACATTTGTTTAGTAATGTTCTTTTCCCAAATTATTTCCTGAAAAATGTCTTTGGCTGGATAAGGGGGTACTTGGCTGAAAAGGCAAAAAAAATCTGAAAGGGGGTACACAAGCCCAAACAGTTTGAGAACCCCTGCCTTATATCATAAGAGTTAACACACTTCTGTGAGATAAAACATTAACCTCGGCTTACAGAAAGCTGGTGAGAGAAACACAGAGAAAGAGAAGCTAACAGTTAAAAGAAAGATCACTGCAAAAGTAAAACAAAGACAAATACTCATGTAAGAGTAAAAGTCACAAATGAAATTGATTACCATTTGAAAATCTTGGCACAGGCGCAACGCAGAATTAAACATCTTCAATTGCTCCTGCATTTTCAGCCAAAAATCAATACACATTATTGTCACAAGGGGGGGTTCCCTTGGCGGCTATGGAGAGCCCTGCTGGTTGACTATGCAGCGAACCACAGACATACAGGAAGGCAAACAGTATGTTAAAAAAAAGTAATACAGCAGACATAATACAGCAGACATAAGGGCACACAAACCACAACAACATGCCTCTTAGTATGTGTGACTCCAGTGTGATGCTTCTGTTTAACAACTCAATCACACATTTCTTCTACATTCATTCTACAAAACTTTCATCTAACAAACATTGGAAGGTACAGAGTTGAGGCGGGGGCACCACAGTTCGTAAAAAGAAAATGAACAAAACATGTTACAGCTATTTACAGTATTAACACACCATCACAGACCGTGTGTTTATTTACTGTATGTAAACACAAACACATATGATCATATCACAATACTTGCAGACTGATCTGTTTAACATGTCTACTTGCTTGTATGGCCTCAAAAGAAAATGAACAAAACATGTTACAGCTATTTACAGTATTAACACACCATCACAGACCGTGTGTTTATTTACTGTATGTAAACACAAACACATATGATCATATCACAATACTTGCAGACTGATCTGTTTAACATGTCTACTTGCTTGTATGGCCTCAGCTGTATGTGAGCTGCTGTCAGCATTCCCACTCTTACCACCAGTGCTAATGCCGAGCAGACAGGATTTACGAGGCTCTTGCTTCCCAGCAGGGTCTCCCTGCTTACTAGCTATTTTAACAGTCCACCTCTAAGTTATCCCAACACAAAAATGTGGAAAATGTGTCAGACATCACTTTGCTTTTCCTTTTAATTTCAAATCGTCTTACAGTGCCATGAGCAATTGAGAGCAATGTTCTGACTACATCAACTTTATAACCAGCTATTTAAATTGTTAGGTACTCCTTGTACTAGGAAGTACAGTGAGACTGTTGTCATCAGATCAGAGATAAAATGTTTTGCTTTTCTTAGGAGGCAGAACATAATGCTTTTGCATGTTTTAGCTCTACAAATAATACATTATTAACGTACTTGCCCCATATTATTTAAAGCACTTAAATGCATTATTGATCTCCTCACAATTCTTGCATTTGGATATAATGACATATGGAGTTCTACTTTGTTGGTGTACTGCTGCATGATACTTTGTGATTTTTTTATTAGTGTAAACGTACTGTGGATTTTTTGTGATTACATGTTTTATTCATTTCATTGCTCATCTATTTTTTAAATATAATAAAAACTGACAACACACACAAATTCCAACGTGCCTGTATTGTCCTGTAACTGCAAACGGCAATATCTGTTCTATTGTATTCTGGCTCTTATGAAGCTTACTTAACCTGATTCTCCATTACCTGTTCAGACTAAGGGGTCTCTGGTCAGATGTGCAGGTTGCTCCACCTGCAGGGGGGCGGAGCGTCAGAGATCCCACTTCCTCCTTGTCTTGTCACTCAGACATGCTCCTTAAACAAGAAGAAACAGACACAGACTTAAAACACTGTTTAGCCATAGGTGTGAAAAGCCAGCGTGCATGCCAAGCAGTTAAATATAAATTCTTAATCCTCAGGTGAGCTTGACACACACAGAGATTCTAAGTCAGGAAATATCCTAAAGGAGCTTTGTCTTGCTTTCATTCATCTCGGTAAAAGTAGCGTTGGTTTTACCAAATGGCTGGGAAAGGAGACACAGAGTGTGCTGATCACAGCTCGGAGATGTAAAACCACTCAGCACCCACAGGAAGAACTGAGAGACGTTGTCAGTCAACGGCCTCAAACACACTTCCTGGCTCGCACGCACAGTAATAACACTCATCTCTCTCACATAATCACACAGTCAGAGTCACAATGTCACCACGCATGTTTCCAGTTGTCAATCATTTACATTTGTCAGCCCGGCCCTGTATCCGTTTGTGTTTTGATATAAATCAGTCATCCTCCCTTCTTTCACGCAAAACCCAAAGGTCAGACACAGCCAAAGACTCTGCCAGCCTCAGAGAGGGATCAAAAAAGAGTGAGGGAGAAGACAGAGGGATATAGGATGGACAACTGACGGGTTCTCAGAACCGCTCATTTCACTGGATTAAAATGCTATTTTTGAGAAATCTGCAGAGAATGAAGATGAGAGAGAATATGACTCCGTTTTGGCTTGTGTGTGTGTGTGTGTGTGTGTGTGTGTGTGTGTGTGTGTGTGTGTGTGTGTGTGTGTGTGTGTGTGTGTGTGTGTGTGTGTGTGTGTGTGTGTGTGTGTGTGTCCTTCAATCTGGTCCTTGGCCTACTTTAAAGCCAAGTCATCATTGGGTCCACTGGGATTTTGTATTGCCAGGCTGTGTATCTGTGTATATGTGTGTGTTTCTGTGTGTGTGTGTGTGTGTGTATTAGGAGATTGTAATACAAGAAGAACCATACCATTAATCTCTTCCTGCCAGCCCACACACTTCTGCATTAGTGAGTGTGAGGAGGCTGTACTGCAGTGCAGGTATGCCTCAGTATGTGAAGGATTCTGGCCACCTAAGGTGTCTCCTTCTGGGTGAGTCATAACTCCTCATTTGCTCTCTTCTTCACTCTTCCTCTCTCCCTCTATCTTTTACACACATGTCAAAAACCTTCTCGCCCGTCTCCTTCCTTTCCCTCCCTTTGTCTCACACACACCTCCTCAAAGTTTGAGTGGTACATAATCCATCTGCAAATTGGAAGCAGGACGAGCGAGAGCTTCTATAAATACTCATGAGATTCCCCTGACAAATCACAAAAGAAACCTACAGAACCACACGCAACACTGCAGTGCAAATAGCAACCCATCTCTGAGTCTGCCTGCAGAGCAAAGTCCTCTTCACTTTCTGCTTTCCAACCAGCTCATGTGGTAGACAATGCATGATTGCCAGATGTTGAGCAGCAAAAACCAACAAGAAAGCAACCACAAAGACACCTGTAATTAAACACATTAAGATAGAGAATGAGATTAAAACTCATAGTTATTGTTGTGCTAATATAACAAAACTGAATTCAAAAGGACATTATATTTCACACGTGTGTTCAACTGGGCTTAACTGTTCTTTACAACCTCAAAGGCTAGTTGTAATACAGAGTGTTGCTGTAAAACAGACCAGCTTTCAACATAAATACACACGCACCTCACAACGTGATGCCTGGGTGGTTGGGCTAACAGATGGACACTTAGTCAGATGTGTAATGCAGAGCAAGTGAGCAGAGATGGACCTGTCCAAACAGTAAGCAGTGTCAGTGGAACATGACAGTATGTAGGCCAACACTGCACTGACTCAAGCTTCGAGAAAAAAATTGATATACTCTGTGTGTTTGTTTGAGCGTATGTCTCATGCCGGTTAAGAGAGTCTGTGTTGTTGTAGCCCAGATACTGTCAAGCTCTCAAAAGAGAAAACATTACAAGAGTCCACACTACGAGATGATCCACATTTTTTACAGCAACAGTTGGTTTTTCAATCCCACTTTCTTTGTAGGAATGGACAGTACTGGGTTAGGGTAATCTGTTGGATTGGCATCAGTACCCATATTGACATCATAAAGCTGAAAAGGTTAAGATTAGGTCTCAGAATTGGTTTTGTGAGTAAAAAAAAAAGTTCTATGAGTGTAACGCCAATTCTTTGCTTCCTAGTGTTTCTTTGAATTCCTCTCCTTTGTACTTTTCTTTGTTCCAGCTGTGACCAGCTGAGAGCCAATAAGACAAGGTATGGGAGCCAAAAGGCTTGGCCCTCATCATCCCACCCTACTGTTGCCCCTATCTTTGTCAAACTTAATACTCCCTAAGTGATTCAGCCAATTCTTTCTCTTCTCCTACACAGGGCTCTTTTCAGTCTGCGTCTACTTATGCTGACATATGTCCAAAAAACACTGTGAGCGAGTCGGACTAACAAATGCAGAGGTAAACTTATGGGATTACTAATGATGAAATCTCGGCTAGTAAGCACATGCCCTTTAGCAGCTAGCAGAGATCACTTAACACACACATATGATAATGTGCATTATGCGTGCTCTTCCAACACAACACCTTGTAGGATGAAGCTGGCATGCTAAAGCGAGGGATCCTGGCCTTTAAAACAGGACTGGAGCCAGACAAGGTGGAGGAGCCCTGAAACAACCTTTGCTCTTAGAGGGTTGTGAGTCCTTAGCCTAAACTAACAGACAGTCAAATCGGTCTTGCACAATTCCCCAAGCTCAGCATGAACAAAGTATGACCAAGCATAGCGAAGCATGAAACCAAACGGTTCCGCTCTCTCTCTCTACAGACTGCTGGAGGAAGACACAGAGGAGAGAGATGAGACAGGGTAAAAACAAGAAGAAAAATGTGTCTTTTTCAAAAAAAAATTGTGTGATATCTTGCTCAAAACATAAAGTGTGTGAATTTATTTTATGTGTTTGGTTCCCAGAGAGAGATGAGACAGGGTAAAAACAAGAAGAAAAATGTGTCTTTTTCAAAAAAAAATTGTGTGATATCTTGCTCAAAACATAAAGTGTGTGAATTTATTTTATGTGTTTGGTTCCCAGCCAGGGTTTCTACATGCGTAATTTGACTCTGTTTGAAGCATATGTTGGAACAGAGGGTGTCCAAAGAAGACAACAACAAACAGGGCTCTGTCAATCCTGTTCCAACTCCATGCAGGCCCTCTGCCCTGTCACACCCCTCATGACTCTAGTGGTGTGGGAAAGGAAGGCCCAGAGGAGTCTGCTGTGCCTTATGCACGCACAAACACCATGCTAAATAGGGACTAGAGGAAACGTAAGAAAAGATGACAACAACAGTATCACGGGGAAATCTAACTGCAGCTCAACATTTCTGACAGCTTTCCAGGGGAAGCCCAGGGAGCAAAAATAGGAATACCAGGAATAAAGCATGGAGAAAAACAGGTAAGAAGCAGCTGGACATGCCAAAGGACACATGAAAGGACTGAGTTACAGGAAAAAAATATCTGCTTCCTGTTTATGTAGAGAAGGGGGAACACAGTTAACAGGCCTGACAGGGATGCCGTTTTGGAGTCATTTTTTAAATATTTGAAAAGATGCATAACCCTATTTATAGTAGGTTGTATTTTAATTGACCATTTTGATTGTGCTGTATTCTCTGCCTTATTTTAGATTTTAGTTCACAATGACGTTAATCTGCTGCTGCCCTAACACACTCACTCGCACACACACGTACACACAGTCATACCTTTCCTCCCCTGTCTTCTGACTGATTACACAAAACAGATTTCACCCAAAACTCTCCCATCTATCTGTGATCTGTTTTCGTGATATCTGGAGGTGTGTCGTTTGCTCTCTGTTATATATCTCGCAGCTTGTCCCTGCTCTGGCCATCATCCATGGCAACAGGATCAAGCTTAGGTGTGTGCATACCTCCAGCTGTGTGTTCAAATGCTCCAGGCATAATTCTCAACCAAGGTCAGACGGCCTAGCAATTCTTTACAACATGCAATCCCACTCTTGTGTCGGAAGGCAAAGTTTGGCTTTAACCCTTTTAAATGGATGTCTTTTCTAAGGGTGGGACAAAATATCAATATGCCAATATATCGTCCTCCTGACTTGTGTAATTAAATCATTGATGATCCCTGAATATCAAAATATAAGAAAAAGAAAAATAGTGCTCTTAGCAGATTCCCCTCCCTTAGACTCTTAGCGTCACTTCTTCATGAGTCCTAACAGTGGCGCTTTTCACATGAATGAGGGTAACATGAGCGGAAGTTATTGGCCATCAGCACACAGGACCGTGGCAGAAACTGGTATATGCAGACCTGATTAGTAGTAGCACAACTTTATAGAAAGCATTATCTAAATTAACACCTTTTGTAGTTACTAACAAAAAGGTGGAAATGTATGTAGCTGTCACACATACAGTTAAGTGAGCAGGTTAACCTTAAAACATTTTTATTAGCAAGACATATTTCATTACTATCATCAGTAATCGTGATCTTTAAGCTTTTAGATTCTTGGGATAAGACGGATTTGAAGATACCTCAAGAAATGATACACAATAGGCAAAATCTAATATAGGCATCAGCTGACCATCTATACTGCATATTTCTGTGATAAAAAAAAAATATTCTGGAGAACAAAGGCTGTTTGTATCTGCTTACACTGCAAAAACATTGGATATCCTTTTTCCTACAAAGCAGAGTAAGGGCTTTTAACATAACCCAGATTCAATAGGCATAGAGTCATGATGACATCTGTGACAGACATCTGCAGACCCCAACCTATAAAATCTGTGAGCTGAGCCTGTTGAGTCATAGTGGGTGTGTAAAATATCCATCTACAGCCTTCAACAAAAAGCTTGTCTAAAGTTCTTTCTCATGAGTCAATGATATTTTAAATCTAACTGTTCAAACATCACATTAAAAGCCATTTGTCAACAAAAACAAATGTCAATTTAGGCTGCAGCCATCATGTGACCTTCCTGTCTGTTTGTATTCTTGGTCCTCATTAATCCTGCT